GCACTGATCTAAGCTTTTGCTCCTCATAACAACCTTATAATGAGTTACTATTATTATCTGCTTTTTAAAAAATTATTACCTGCTTTTAACAACTGAGGCACTAAGAAGTTGAGACAGTAAAGGACAAAACCAAGAGACAAGTGTTTGTTCTGGCCCAAATGGACCCCAAAAGAGAAGGCATATTAAACCTAAACAATCTGCAATATGGGTCAGACTGCCGTGCCACCACAGTGAATATGAAAGCTAAAACTATACAAATTGCATTTTTTAAATAAAGTAATATAGGTTGTCATCTCAAAAACTCTGCTATGTTGCCAGAGTTATTGTTGTTAGCACAGCACCTATACTGATGGAAGAATGACAGAATTTTTAAAAATTTTATTCACTTAATATAGGAGAGGAGCATGAGAACTATATAAATTAATAAAGTCAAACAAAGTTAAGTCAGGGGCCTGTTACATGCTGCCTGACACAGAACTCGGCTGGCCAGAGATGAAAGCAGACCATAAGGAGCCTCCAGAACAAAGATTAATAGCTACTCACCATACCATATCCATACACAAGGACACAAAATACACCTTGTAAAGGTTCAAGTTATTCCCAACTCCCCTCTGCCCCCCAACTCTCTTATTTCCCCATGGCAGGAATTTGCCATAGAAACTACAGATATAAGCTCAATCTCAAGAGACAGTTGGCGTCTCTCTTCCTTCTCTTGTGAGGAGGGTCCACTACTCTGTCAGTGGAGTGGCTTTTCTTGCTTATCCTCTCTGCTCAATAAACTGGCTTCTGTTTTAACCTCTTGTCAGGCTCGCTTCTTGAATTCTTTCCTGCTCAAAGCCAAGAACCCTGCTGGCTCAGGGTTTGAGTCTCCCTTTGGGACTTCACCCGCTGGTATCACATTCAGTGGCAATGAGGAGAGATTGTAATTGAGGTCCAAAAGTCACATTCTCCTAAACATGAATTTTCTACATGAATTATTCAGATAATTACCCAGTTCTCTATGATATTTGTCTCTTGTAAATGTCAACTACATAGTGGAAGGAAAGCTATCTCAATGCCACGTGTGAATTGTGTATTTTAGGAAACTTCTTATTCTGGGCTAAGCAAATAGGCCTATTATAAGAGTAAACGCTATACACACGGCCTGCTCTGCAACAGAACATTGGTAAATCCTCACCTTGGAGCATGAGGAAGATAACAGGGGCTCAAAATAAAATACTCAGTTTTGTAAGGACTGGTCCTAGATTCTGATGCTTCCATCGCACCTAGGCTACTTTTAGCATCTACTATGGACTTAGAATGTTCATTTATTTGCTCTCAGATCAAACGGGAGTGACTGAATCGTTGTTTTCAGATGATAAGATGCTGTAGTAATCAGCTGGGACATTAAAATGTAGATCCTGACTTAGTAGGTCTGGAGTGGGGCCTGAGGTTTTCCCTTTCTAATAGGCTCCCTGGCGACAGCTGTACTGCTGGGGATCACACCTGGAGTAGCAAGGGCCTGAACTCCAGAATGAACTTTTTCACCTGTTTGTTCAGAGACAAAGATTTAAAAGTTTGACCTACCGAGGGGTGTGCATTCCGCATCTATCTATTCACCAAATGAGTGTCTATTACGCAGTAGTCCCTGAAGATCAGCATTAAAGAAAGCAGATACTGTCCTGCCCTTGGGAGTCCCCGAGTCCAGCCAGGCAGCCGAACAATTAGCGAAAAGTGACAAAACTCACACCGAGGCGCCCCCACGGGAGCCTGGACTCGGCCTTTGCCCACACGAACCTGGTGCGCTGATTGGCTGGCGGGTCCCCCGCTACAGCCAATGAGCTGGGGAGGCCGTTGGTGGGGGCAACGGCCATGCTGCCGCGCGATGGCCGGGGCCGCTGGCCGAGGCCAAGGTCAGGCCTGGAGGTGCTTTCTGCCTCCCTGCCCGTGGGCGCCGTGAGTATTTCGGAGGGTGGAGGATGGCCCTCTCCCCGACATCTAGGTGTCTTCCTCGCCTCGCCACAGGGGGTGGGGCACGAGCCTTCGCCATAGGCCCGGCGCTGGACCCATGGCCTTAACCTGGTGATCTCATTGCATCCTTGAACAGTGAGATGATTTACGGTGATTTCAGAGCAGAGGCTGCCCAAGGCCACGTGGGAGTAAAATGCAGGAGGCAGAATTCAAATCCAGATGCTCTGTATTCCTCTGAGTCCTCTCTCCACATTCCATTTTGGAGACCGGATTTCTCCTTAGCAGGAGTCTCATATTGTGCAGGTTTGGGGAGGTGGACGTAGGCGAGTCTAGAATCCTGATGCTTATTTTTAAGTTGTTGTTCTTAAATATGTTTTTATTGATTTTAGAGAGAAAAGAAGGGAGAGGGAGAGAGAAACATTGATGAGAAACATTAAAACCCATGGGCTGCCTCCTGCACGTCCCCTACTGGGGGGGTCCAGCTCGAAACCCCGGTATGTGCCCTGACTGGAAGCCCAGCCGGTGATCTCTCGGTGTATGGGTCTGCGCTGAACACCGAGCCGTCTCGGCTAGGCTGTTGTTTTTTAATAGAGAAACAACATATACTAAAAGCATTTATGGGGAAGATGAGCAGCAAATTCAGGAGAGCTGCTGTCTCTTAGGATGGCTATGGAGGGACTTCAATTGAGTCATAATTGTTTTATTTCTTAAGCCGTGAGGGGGTAACCTAGATGTTATATTATTCCCTTTCTTGTTTGTCTGAAATACAATTTTAAAAGGAAAACATGCACATGGAAAATAAATTTCAGAGGATCAAGTGTACATAACAGAAAGGAAGTCTCTCCTACCCCAGATTTCTAGAGTCCCTCACTAGAAGCCACTGTATCAGTTTTGTGTATCTTAAACATTTTGTATAGTAGGTACTAGTGTATATCTGAGTTTGTTTTGTTTTGGGTGTGTTGGTTTATGGGTTTTTTGTTGTTGTCGTTTTTGCACAAGTGTATCCTATTATATACAATCAACACCTTAGATGACTTAATTTTTAAAAAATATATCTTTATTGATTTCAGAGAGGAAGGGAGAGGGAGAAGGAGAGATAGAAACATCAATGATGAGCCCTAGCCGGTTTGGCTCAGTAGATAGAGCATCGGCCTACAGACTGAAGGGTCCCTGGTTTGATTCCAGTCAAGGGCACATGCCTGGGTTTCAGGCTTGATCCCCAGTAGGAGGCGTGCAGAAGGCAGCCAATCAATGATTCTCTCTCATCATTGATGTTTCTCTGTCTCTCTCCCTCTCCCTTCCTCTCTGAAATCAATAAAAAATAAAATAAAATAAGAAACATCAATGATGAAAATAATTGATTGGCTGCCTCCTGCATGCCCCCATTTGGGGATTGAGCCCACAATCCTGACATGTGCCCTTGACTGGAATCGAACCCAGGACCCTTCAGTCCACAGGCCGATGCTCTATATACTGAGCCAAATTCGGCTAGGGTTAGATGACTTAATTTTTAACCTCATTAAACTTAAAAAATCCATTAACCTCCATTAGTCCTGTGATCATCAATATAATTTCTCTGGCAAAATATTCCCAGGGTTGTTTCTGACATGATGAAATGTAGGTCATGGCTTCCCGGGCTGTGTGTTTGCCTTTTTCTTTTTTTAACGTCCTCATCCGTAGTATAAAAAAAATCTTCCCCAATTAACTCTTTAAATGGTACAGGAGAAAAAGAATCATGACAAGTAAAGGACTGCTGGGAACTGCTTTATCCTTTCCCAAACATTTTTATTCATATTCTCCAGGTAAAGTTCCACATAGAGCCCACTACTGCTTGAAATTAATTTATTGTATGTAGTGGAATATTGGCAAAGTGAGAGAAGTGGGAATTCATTTTCTCCGGTGCAGGAAAACGCCCAGCTTTTTTCTAGTGAAGTAGCAAGGGGAGAGAAGCTTATATGACGTTAGCAGGAAGCATCTGCACACTTAACCCTTATTTTACCTTTTCTAAAAGCACAAGATACTTTTGCCTCTTTAATAATTCTCCCAGTCACACGATCCTTACATGGGAGAGCTAGGATTCTAACCTAGGCACAGTTAACTTCAAAAGTCAAGCCAGATGGGAGGGTTCCCTGGAGTGAAGTCATTTGCTCATTAAGCTATTCTGCACTTTTCTTTGACCATCTACCAACCACTTCTTCCCTGACTCTTGTCAATCCCCACTGAAACTGTGTCTGTTCGGCTCTGCAAACATCCTTGCTCTCTCCAGTCTCTGGTCCTCTATCTGGAACGCATTTCCCTAGCACCTTCCTTGAGTATCTTTTAAGGTGAAATTTCTCTCAGTGGTGTTGGCTTTGGGACAAATTTTCAATCAAACGGTGTTAGAGAGGGCTGATTCCCAACACCCTGGCCAACACTTGGACATCTGAAATTACCAACCTGAAAAGTGAGGGAAAATAATCTGCTTGTTTCAGTATGCATTTTGGTGACTATTTGTAATGGTCTTGTGTTTTGAGATCTTCAATCTGTATGAGCCGTTTCTATGCCACTATCCTGAGCGGGAATGTGGTTTTGCTCTTCCGTTGGAGAGGCAGTTGACAAGAGCTTAGACTCGTTAAGGTAACTACCCCAGTTCGGGTCTAGCTGTTAAATAATACAGTGTGAGCCCAGCCGGGATGGCTCAGTGGTCGAGGGTCAACCCATGAACCGAGAGGTCATTGGTTCGATTCCCGGTTAGGGCACATGTCCCAGCAGCAGGCTCCATCCCTAGTAGGGCTGCAGGAGGCAGCCAATCAATGTTTCTCTCTCATCAATGTTTCTATCTCTCTATCCCTGTCCCTTCTTCTCTCTCTAAAATCAATAAAAAAAATATGTTTAAAAGAGAAAAAAAGAGATCGTGAGCTAAGCAGGGCTGTGGGTGGGGGTCTGAAGGCGACAGCCCCAAGGGGGCCAGGGCCGACGCGGACTTCGACGTCACTGCGGCGCGCCGCTTCCGGTTCCCAGCGCCGGTGCGAATGACTTACCCCTCCGTGGGGCGGGAGCCGGGCTCACCGCGAACCCGGGAGCCCACGATCGCGCCGCGCCAGCCGGCAGGTCCGCCAGCACCAGCGTCCCACTCGCGCCCGGGACCATGGCCACTGACTCGTGGGCCCTGGCGGTGGATGAGCAGGAAGCGGCGGCCGAGTCGGTGAGTTGGCTTCAGCCATAAAAGGGTCAGAATCAGTTCTAGCCCGGGCTCAGCTCCATGGGATCGGACACTCCCTAGTTGGTCTGGGCCGGATGGGATGCGCGCGGGGATGGGCATGGACCCTGAACTATCTTTGTTTACCCACCTCCCGTGTTATGTAAGCACAGGTGAGTGCTCCCATCTATGAAGAGCCCAGCCACCTGTCTATCTTCCTGGAATCCGGGTTGATCATAGATTGTAACCACTTTTGTAGGTGTTATTTTCCACCTCCCGATTCTGAGGTTTTTGGGCTTACGGACCGGGGGTTACTCATATCTGTGTGCTTCCTCAGCTTGCACACAGATATGCCACTCAGTAGGCCTGGCAGTTAGTAAATCCTCTCCTGATCTGCTTAACTTTGTTCTGGGCCTGACACCCAGGAAACAAGATATGTGTTAAACGTTACTACGTAGAATTAATTTCTCTCACCCAGACACACTATATTCTGATATTGCTTTGAACCTACTTCTTTTATTACTTTTTTTCTCTGAATTCGAGAACAAGGACTTTGTCTTATTTTTTATAACTAATAAGTAATATGCACATAGTTCAAAGAGTCAAATATTTAATTTTAAACACTGGTTCCCACCACCACCAATTTTTAAATTAGTAAGTGCCATACTGTTTTCCAAAGTGGCTGTACCATTGAGTGTCCCCAGAATGTTCCTCCTGACTGGCCAGATTTTGCAGAGAGGATCCTCAGATTTCCTGCCTGAAGGGTAGAGGTCTGACTAGTGTTAGTGGAGTGCGAGGAAAATGTGGAGGTTTCAGCACTCAGTATACTTGGTTCCATTTAATATTCCCATTCTCATCATGGCATCCCCTTCCTCTACGATAGCCCTTAGCTTATTCATTTCAGCATTTCTCATGCCTAGCCAGCGCTGTTAATTGAGTAAATAAGCTGTATAGTTTGTTTTATATTACATGGCTCTGTCAGAAACTTTTGGACATGCATTCTCAATATATACATATTTAGATATTGCATGCTGTACTGTTTTGCTAAATATATACATTATAAAGCATACACAAAAGTAATAAAAGCTGAAATAAAGATAATGTTTTTAAATATTTTACTGTACTTTCTTTTGCTGGCTTTATACTTTCATTAATGTCTCAAGGGACAATATATACATAGGGAAAAAATCATTATTAGCCATTGCAAATATGAATATATATTTCAAATAGTTTAAATTTTTTTTACTAACTTGTTAGGTCAGATTATATTGTCATTCTCATAATCTATTAATATGCCTAAAAGAGTTTGTTAGGAGTCGGTAGCTTTGTCATTTTCTTATTTGCTTGAGTTTGCATTGTTAGAATTATCTTCTTTTTTTAAATATATTTTTATTGATTTCAGAGAAGAAGGGAGAAGAGGGGAGAGAGAGAGAGAGAGAAACATCAATGATAAGAGAGAATCACTGATCAGCTGCCTCCTGCATGCCCCCTACTGGGGATCGAGCCCACAACTCAGGCATGTGCCCTTGACTGGAATCGAACCCGGGACCCTTCAGTCTGCACGCCAACGCTCTATCCACTGAGCCAAACCAGCTAGGGCATAGAATTATCTTTAAGACAGAACAGAAACTCATAATACACTCTGTGACAATGAACATTCAGATATGATTAGCTCCTATAAATTTCAGCAGATATATACTAGCCATTTTACTTACCTTACAACAATAAAACCCGGAATTAATTAAATCTTGGGACCCTATTTTTAGAGCATTATGGTGGTACTTTACCCTATTATCTCTTTTATATATATATTTTTTAAATATATTTTATTGATTTTTTACAGAGAGGAAGGGAGAGAGATAGAGAGTTAGAAACATCGATGAGAGAGAAACATCGACCAGCTGCCTCCTGCACATCTCCCACTGGGGATGTGCCCGCAACCCAGGTACATGCCCTTGACCGGAATCGAACCTGGGACCTTTCAGTCCACAGGCCGACGCTCTATCCACTGAGCCAAACCGGTTTCGGCTCTTTTATATTTTTATCATTTATTTATTTATCCTCACCCGAGGATAATTTTCCATTGATTTTTAGGGAGAGTGGAAGAGAGAGGGAAAGACAGAGAGAATCATTGATGTGAGAGAAATACCGATTGGTTGCTTCCTGGGCCCAGGGTAGGGAGGAGCCTGTAACCAAGGTACATGCCCTTGATGGGAATCGAACCCGGGACCCTTTGGTCTTCAGGCCGACACTCTATCCACTGAACCAAACCGGCTAGAGCTATCTCTTTTTTTAAACAACAGGTTTATTGAGGTATTGCATACCATATACTTTATCCATTTAAAACATACAGTTCTCTGGTTTTTAGTATATTCACAGAGTTGTGCAGCCATCACCCTAATTTTAGAATTTTTTTTATCACCTCAGAAAGAGACTCTGTATGCCTTAGCTGTTACTCCCCATTTCCCTCCAACCTCTCACCCTAGACAGCCACTAATGTACTTTCTGTTTAGATTTGCCTATTCTTGACATGTCATATAAATGGAATCATATAATATGTGGTCTTTTGTGTGTCTGGCTTCTTTCACTTAGCATAATGTTGTCAAGGTTCATTCATGTTGCAGCGGGTATCAGTATTCATTCCTTTTTATTGCCAAATAATATTCCAGTGTATAGATATACCACATTTTATTTATCTGTTCATCATATCCACTGACTGATGGACATTTGGATTCTTTTTACTTTTTGACTATTATGAATAATGATGCTATGATCATTTCATATACAAGTTTTTATGTGAACATATATTTTCAATTCTCTTGGGTACATATCTAGAACTGGCATTGCTGGGTTATACAGTAACTATATGTTTAACTTTTGAAGAACTGTGAGACTGTTTTCCAAAGCAGCTGCACTTCTGTATCATCTTTACATTATTATTTTCTCTGAGATTAGTATTATCTATGAGGCACTACTATGTAGAGATTAAGACCTGAGTTCTAGCTAGACAGACTTGGAATTGTATCCCATGTCCCTCACTTACTAGTTATATGACCTTGGGCAAACTGCTTAACTTCTGTGCCTCAGTTTCCACATCTGAAAAATGGGGATAATCATAATAACTACCTCATTGAGTTATAGACATGCCTGATATAAGTGCTATATAAGTGATAGCTATTATTATTGTTATTTTTATCAATAATTCACAGTTTCTTTGCAGGAACCTTTTAAATTACTTGTCCATATTATGTGGATTAGTTAGTTGACCCTGAATAAGATTTGTGAATCTACCTAACCATGCACAGGTAAATTATAACATCACAATAAAACTGAACAAATGACTAAAAACACCTCTGTTGCCCTGGCCTGTGTTGCTCAGTGGTTGAGCATCAACTTATGAACCAAGAGGTCACAGTTCAATTCCTGGTCAGGACACTTGCCCAGGTTGTGGGCTCGATCCGAAGTAGGGGTAGTGCAGGAGGCAGTTGGTCAATGATTCTCTCTCATCATTGATGTTTCTATCTGTCTCTCCCTCTCCCTTCCTCTATAAAATCAATAAAAATATATTTTTAAAAAAAACACTTCTGTTACTCTCTGCCACTATGAAACTCTGAGGATCCCCACACACATTGTATGACATGTGACTCTAACATGCACAGTGCTAGGTTACTATATTTTAAATATTCATTAAGCTTCATTTCTTATTCATTGTAGATAAGAAAATATTAGATTCTGTTTATATTTATTTCCTCAGTTCCAGTGGCTCCTTTGTTCACCCTTTGTTCCATGGGAGATTTCAATTTAGAGGAGGGAGAACAGATAAGAAAACTGATGAATAAGATTCCTACTTCACCATTTTGCCTAAGAGCCTCCCTTTTCAGTATAGTTCACTTAACATTAAATCTTCTTTCTTATTTCTCAAGCATCCTTTTTCAGATAATGTTTTAATAAAATGCAGTGGGTAACTATAGTTTTCAATGATCTTAATGTATCTTGAAAACTAAAATATTAACTAAAGGCATTGAAAAATGGGGATATTATAAGGTAGGTGTTTTTACTTTTTTGCCTTTTGGTTAACTTTCTGAATTTTAAGGTGGTTTTCAATGAAGACACCAGAGAAATTGGTTTTTCATTTTTGGTCCAAATAGATAGAGCAAAGGAAGGTATCTGAACTAATTGCTTTCAACATAAGTTTCAGTGTTCAGTTAACTCACTGAAGTGGATAATAGAAACTTGTCCTGCTGCTTTTGCCTTATGGGCTTTGAGATCCTTGTAGTCAAATGAGGGCTATGTTTTTAGATTCTGCTGGAACCTCTCCAGAATTCTGATACATTTAAAAATATCTATTTGTTTCATTTACATTGTTGCTACCAACTTTCACTACACATTGTATTTTATTTTTCTCACCCTACACAGTGTATTTTAGCTATTTTAACTACTTACTCTTAACTTTGATTTGAAAAATGTATCAACAAAAGAATACTTTGTCCTCTTGACACTGAATATTTAAATGCTTTGCAGTAATGGACATTTCTAATTCGTTTATACCTCATTAACTTATTTAGACCTCAGCCCTAACATTTAAGTAGCCCTTATGATCCTAGGAGTGAATACTATTAACCTTACTCTTGTAAATATTGCCAGTAAGTCAGTTAGTCTCTCTCTCCTTTAACAGCCCTGAATACTGCTGGTCTTAAACTAGGTTCATTGGCAGGATGTGAAGGAGGAATACTTCAGTGAAGACTAAAATAACTGAATACCTAAACTATTTATATATTATGTACTGTGCTGATTGCTTCGTTTCATTACCTATTAATGTATTCTCTATTCTTCAGAATTAATGAAGACTTTTACTGCTTTATGATGATTTTTTTTGCCAGTTTCCTTTCTTGCCAAGCTCTCTAGTGTGTACCCTCTTCCCCACAACACCAAAGCAGACAGACACCAGAAACCCTCTTTTCAGTTTCCATCAGAAGTTCCTCTATTCCTAACTAACCACCCATTAAAACAAACAACTTTTTCATTCCTCCCTTTCCAAACCCTTCTGAGATTTAGAGGAAAGACAGAAATGAGCCTCAAGACATAAAGAACCTGTGTTGGTGATGCTTTAAGACAGTGGTTCCCAAACTTATTTGGCCTACCGCCCCCTTTCCAGAAAAAATATTACTCAGCGCCCCCTGGAAATTAATTTTTTTTAAATTTTAATAGCAATTAAACAGAAAGATATATGTATTAATGTTTCTACCTTTTTCGTAAAATATAGTAAAGAAACGTGTAAATTAGAAACATTGAAGTTTGAAATTATGAAACTATTTATTGAACTCAGAATAGAAAGGTAATACAAAAAAAGTTAAAACAAATGCACCTGTGGCCATCACCGCCCCCCCTGGATCGCTGCAGCGCCCACCAGGGGGCGGTAGCGCCCACTTTGGGAATCACTGCTTTAAGAAATACCCTTTATTATGATTTTCATACTTTTACCCTGCACTAGGTTGCCTTTGGCACCATTTAATATTTTTTTTTTTAATATATTTTATTGATTTTTACAGAGAGGAAGGGAGAGGGATAGAGAGTTAGAAACATCGATGAGAGAGAAACATCGATCAGCTGCCTCCTGCACACCTCCTACTGGGGATGTGCCCGCAACCAAGGTACATGCCCTTGACCGGAATCGAACCAGAATACCCTTTATTATGATTTTCATACTTTTACCCTGCACTAGGTTGCCTTTGGCACCATTTAATATTTTAAGAGTATAGCACCTGCTTAGTATATCCAAAAATCAATTAAAAATAACTCCTGTCTTTAAGGTATTTTTCTTTTTTCAGCTTTATTGAGGTATGGTTGACAACTAAAAGGGTATTTTCATGCTAGTAGGGGAAATAAATCCTGCCAGGATATCCCTAATTTATAGTGTCTGATCAAAGTCCTGATAATTCTTTCTTTGAAATGTCTCTGCTCTGTCCCTTCCTATCTATTCCCACTTCAGCCTGCTGCGTATTTTGATTACACAGCATGCAACAATCCTCCAAGCGGTTCCAACTTTAAAATATCAGACATCCAGCACAAGGCGACCTGAATGTAAGGCTGCATATCAGTATGCTTTGGTCCTGTGGCTCAGACATATCCTTGTAACATAACTGATTCTTACTTACAGATGCATTTTCCAAAATCTCTTTAAATTTCCTCTTGTTTGGAATATGAGAACATGACAACTCAACTGATATTCTATTAAGAGGTCTTTGTAATCAGAAAATTAAGCAAACTCATAAATTCATTTTCTCTAGAGATTGTAATTAGGAATTTAGGGATTATAATTAGGGATTACAAAAGGAGCCCAGCAGAACAATCTAATGAATAGGTCTTGAGAGTGGCTCATGTTTCCCCAGCTACACTGGGGAGGCTCTGTTGATTTAAAATCTTATACTTGATTTTCCTGACACTTTCCATCCTCCCCTATATTCTCCATTTAGTTGAGCAACTTGCATCTTAAGGAAGAGAAAATCAAACCAGATGCCAATGGTGAGTAACTAAAAGCTAGTTTGAAAACAAATGAGATTTATTCTAGTATTTCTGTTTTGACATAACTGTCTGGAAAAACATTATATATGTAACCAGACCAGGGGCTGGCAGATACTGGCAGTCATTTGATTTGGAAATCAATAAACTGAATTGTTTTGTTTATATTGTGTTTAATATAAGCATGAGGATGCCTAATTGGCTTATACATTATTAAATTTATTACTAACCATGAGACTGTACTGTCAAAGATTATTTGTTATTTTTAAAAATAATCCTCAATTTGAGATGGACTAGACAAAGTATGAGCAATCTGAGAGTTAACCTATTATAATTATTCTGAAATCATGTACCCCAAATCTAAGATTTCCATTAAAATTTTGTTGATGTACTTATTATTAGGAAAAAATTGTAACATTTACCTTACAGAATTCACTTACAATATGTTTTGTATTTTCACAAAACTACAACAGTGTTTGAGTATAAATTTCTATTAATCAGCAATTCTATTAATCAACAATTCATATACATAGACTTAATAGCATTATTGTATTCATATATGGATGAAATTCGACTTGCATAGGTGTTGAGCATCAAGGTGATTTCTGATCAATGACTTCTGTAATCATTCTACAACATTTCATAAATATTGATGCTATGAGGGAAATTAACATTAGTTTTTGAAGTCTGGTGAGAGGACTAAAGGATTAAAATATAAGCTACAGTGTTTCATACCTTTGTTTCTGTAGGAACCATAAAATGTTTTTATCTGTGGCTTGGTTTCCTCATTGTTTTTTTTGCTCCTCAGGCCTTTACATTTCTAGTGTCTAGTAGAATTTGAATTATCTCAGCTGTTGGGTTTGGGATGTGATTTTGAATGCCACTTTGTGTCTGATAAAGGTGCTGTTGTCAAGACCAATGCTAATGCAGAGAAGGCAGATGAAGAAGAGAAAGGTAACACAGCCTGAGAGCTACATACTAAGATTCTATAGCTTAAGAGAATGGATTGTTAGGAGGCTTCATTTATACACCCAACTTGGCTTTACTTTAATAGGAATCACAGTGCTAACATAGTCGTTGGTGAAGGAATTCTAATTGTTTACGTTTTACAGAAATTTTACTTTGAAAAGTGATGAACTTCAGCAGCAGCAGGAAATATTCCCTGAATGATTATTTTTTACAAGGCAATAGAAAAGAAATTTTACTGCCTTTGGAAAAAAGAAAAAAAAAACATTTTAGTTGCATTCCATTGTCTAATACAATTAAACTTAATGACATTTCAATATATTTAAGATGCAAGCAGCTTATATGTTATCAAGATACTGATTTTAATTTTTTTCATTGTGATAGTTAATCATCTATAATAATAAAAGTGTAATATGCTCATTAGACCAGACGTCCTTCCGGACATCCTTCCTTCCGGACAAAGCCACCAGCGGGCAGGGGCCATGGCAGAGGCCCCCAGTGGCGGCAGCAGGCAGGGGCCGGGGCCAAGACCCTTGCACAAATTTTGTGCATTGGGCCTCTAGTTCTAAGATTATATTAAGCACAAATTGGGGAGAAATATTTGGGTCTAGATAGGAGGAAAAATCTCAGGAAAGGATAGTTAGGAATAGAGTTCTGAAGAAGAATATGAGGCCCAATGGATGCTATTATTATTATAATCTTTCTTGTTAATAAAACAAACTAATCATATTTATAAGTAAAAACTATGATATACCTTGAACTAGATGTCCCAGTACAGTCCTGGCCGGTGTGGCTCAGTTGGTTGGGCTTCATCCTGTGCATCAAAAGGTTGCTGGTTCAATTCCAGGTCAGGGCACATGTCTGGGTTTTGGGCTTCCTCTCCCTTCCTCTCTCTCTAAAAATCAATATAAAGTATTCTTTAAAAAAAAGGGGGGGGTCCCAGTACAAATATTACTGCATAATGGGGGTATGAGGAGGGGCAGGAGGGGGTCAATGGGGGAAATAAGGGGACATATGTAATACTTTCAACAATAAAGAATTATTAAAAAAAAATATTACTGCTTAAAATACCATTGGCAGTTAAATTCAGATGGGCTCATGGTAGATTTCATGGACTTTTAAAATTTGCTCTTTTTCCTGACAGAGGACAGAGCTGCCCAGTCCTTACTCAATAAACTCATCAGAAACAACCTGGTCGACAACACAAACCAGGTGGAAGTCCTGCAACGGGATCCAAACTCCCCCCTCTACTCAGTGAAGTCCTTTGAGGAGCTTCGGTTGTAAGTATTTGTTTGCTTTCTCACTCTCCCCTTTGTGTTTAGATAGCTATCCTAGACTTGTTATATTTTTTATCATAGTAGAAAACTTTTAACTAAACAAATTTAATTTTAAAACATTAGCTGCTTTGAGCTATTTAGTAAAATTTCCAGGTAATCTATAAAAATTTTATCTGCACTTACACATTGGACTCAGTTCAGCACAGTTCAAGTTTGTTAGTTCTAAGCTGTGGGTAACACCAGCTAAAAAGAGAAAAAAATTCCCCATATATTTGGCTTCTTTCCTCAACCAAAAAGACTGACTTGCATCATTAATTGTTTTTCCAGGAAGCCACAACTTCTCCAGGGAGTTTACGCCATGGGCTTCAACCGTCCATCCAAGATTCAAGAAAATGCATTGCCTTTGATGCTTGCTGAGCCGTATGTGTCCTGACATAACCCTATTCCATTTTTAATTTTCCATTTTAAAACTTTTATTTAAAAAAACTACACTACTAATATATGCTCATTTTAGAAAAGTTAGAAAACAATAAAAAAGAAAAAAATCATTTGTAATCTCCCTCCTCCACATACTATTCATATTTTGAGTAGAGACTTCTGGACTTTTTTTTGGGGAGAGAGAGAGAGAGAGAGAGAGAGAGAGAGAGAGAGAAAGAGAGATGGAGAAACATCGATGTGAGAGAGGAACATCAATTGGTTGCCTCCCACATCTGCCTCAACCAGGAATCGATCCTGCAACCTGAGTATGTGCCCTGAGCAGGAATTGAACGCACAGTCCTTTGGTGCATGTGACAACACTCCAATCTACTGAGTCACACTGGCCAAGGCAGACATTTACATATAAACTTTTATATGCTTTTAAATATTTATATGATCATCTTTCTATGTTGGGAAATACACATTTATATCATTCATATACAGTTCAGGGGTGGGAAACGTCCGTATGAGGCCCATGAAATTATTTGGTCTGGCCCTGCCATGCCATTAGGGGTGAGTTAAACATTTAACCAAATATAGCAGGCTAATTTTTAAGGTGATAATTTTGTATGGCCTACGAAAGATGTTATAAATATCCAAATGGCCCTTGGCAGAAAAAGGTTCCTCACCCCTGATATACACCATGATTTCACTATATGGATATATAAAGTTTATTGTGTCAAATATATAGGCTAAAAAGTGTTCTAGGAGACCAGAATGGTGCAGTGCTTCTCACACTTTCATAGCCTATGAGTCTCATAGGAATTTATTAAAATGCAAATTCTGATTTCAGTAGATTTGAGGTGGGATGGAGGTTCACGATTTCTAGTAAGCTATTTGTCTAAAAATACATATTTTAAGTATTTTCTCAAAGTGTTCTTTGTTCTGTGTCATAATAATAACATTACTTCAAGATGGAAATCTTTTTTTTTTTTAACTTGAAACGTTATTCATTTTTATTAACTGAAAGGATACTTGAGATTTAAGATACTGAACAGCTCGTTTCCTTGTGCAGCCCACAGAACTTAATTGCCCAGTCTCAGTCTGGTACTGGTAAAACAGCTGCCTTTGTGTTGGCCATGCTCAGCCATGTAGAACCTGCAAACAGATACCCCCAGGTAAGGACTTGGTGAATTTGGGTTTTCTGCTAATGCATAGCTAGAAGGGAAGTGCCATTTGATGGATTAAAAGCCATGTCTTATATTACCTTTTACATAAACTAGAGCTCCTTAAGTTGGGTACAAACAATATAGTTGATCTAGTAACAAAAATCCTGTTCTCTTCCATGGTTTGCCAATTCTAGGATACTGCTGATAGGCTTGGCTCCTTTACTTGCAGGGAAAACCTCCTTCATCTACAATTATTCATCCAGTAGAAAGTTGAGAACTTTCTGAGAAAGTGAAAAGGAAGCTAATCTCCCATTTGAATTTCAGATCCTTGCTCACTTGTAGGTTTTGGTACACTACAGGCCAGTAGCTGTTTCCAAGTGTCTTTACCCAGCCAGAGTTCTGGCCCCTAAGAATTCTACCTTGTGACTTTGCAGCTTAAAGAATCAAATGGTGTACATTTTCTATATCCTTTCCTTCAGCCTTAGCTGGAAGAATAACTAAATCCTGATGTAACTCCCCATTGCAAAAGAGCTATTGTCTTGACTTCTCTGCACTCTTTCTACCAGTGTCTGTGCCTCTCCCCAACGTATGAACTTGCCCTTCAAACGGGAAAAGTGATTGAGCAGATGGGAAAATTTTACCCAGAGCTGAAGCTAGCTTATGCTGTTCGAGGCAATAAATGTGAGTATGAATATGTAATCCTAATTCATTAATAATTTTTTTTTTAATTTTACACAAACTAATACAATGAACACGTGTACTCTTCACCTAGATTTGAAAACTTAACGTTTTGCCATATTTGCTTTATGTGTTTATAGATATTTCTGGTGAATCATTTGAGAGTAAATTGCAGACATTGTGGCTTTTTATTCCTAATACTTTAGTATGTATTTCATGATGAGGGCATTCTTCAGCATACCCACAATACCCTAATCACAACCAAGAAAATTAATAGATTCTCTAATGACTAATACCCAGTCATTTTCATTTTACCCCAATTGTCCCAAAAGTGTTTCCTTATGGCTCTTTTGTTTTGAATCAAGATTGAGGGAGTGTATCCACATTGCTTTTGGTTACTGTATCTCCTTACATTTCTTTTAATTTAGAATAGTCGCTTCACATTACATTTGACTTTTTGAACACACCTTTTTGCTTATAAAATATTCCAAGTTCTGGATTTGTTTAATTGCCTAATTTCTTTTTAATATCATTAGAAGAATAAAAATGTTCTAAAATGTTCATGGCAGTTAACTCTGGTAGTTTATTTTTATTTTTTACATATTTTCTACCTTTGTTTTACAACAAACTGACAATATTTAAGTAATTTAAATTTTCTTAGAAGTTTGGTTGAGTCCTATGGATCTTTAACACAAACTTCTAACTTATGACTCACAGAAATCTACTCTGTGTACAACATCCTTTTGTGAAGTTAGTTCTGAAAAGTAAGATAATAAAACTTAGTGAAAAATCGTAAGATGTTTAAAATATTATTTTGGATTTGAGTTAGAATGATAGGATTTTGAATAATTTTTTTTTATGAGGGGCAGTAATTGTTTGTTAACTGAAATTTAAAAAAGGCAGCATTTGTTAGCTTTGAATTGATTCAAAATTCACATTTGGGCAAAATTTTGGCTGTGACTAGAAGGAAATTGTTTATGTCTGGTCAAGAGTACAAATAAGCCCTAACTGGTTTGGCTCAGTGGATAGAGCATCAGCCTGCGGGCTCAAGGGTCCCAGGTTCGATTCTGGTCAAGGGCGTGTACCTTGGTTGCAGGCACATCCCCAGTAGGGGGGTGTGCAGGAGGCAGCTGATTGATGTTTCTCTCTCATCAGTGTTTCTAATTATCCCTCTCCCTTCCTCTCTGTAAAAAATCAATAAAATATATTTTTTTTTTAAAAAAAGAGTACAAATAAGTGCTAAAATCTGAATCAATAAATACCATCTAATTGAAAATGAAGAACCAAATTCTCAATTTCATACTGCACAGGGCCTAGAACGTGTCGTGGTCTGCCAGGCCTAGTCTGGGAAGCATTTTAAGGGAGGTAGATTGTGTTTGAAAAGACAAAGTCTTTCATAATGAACCCTATTTATTGATCCGGGCATGAGGCGTATAAAAGCAACTGACTTGTTTGATGTGAATGCTAGAAGAGTTAAGGAACAGTGTACACTAGAGTGAGGAGAACTTTGAAAATGTCTATTATGAGGAAATGTAATCCTCACCTAGAGGGAACCATGCTGACAGAGAAGAAATAAAGATAACAGGTCCTTGCCCTGACCAGTGTTCTCAGTGGTTAGAGCATCAGCCCATGCACCAAAGGGTTAAGGGTTCAATTCCCAGTCAGGGGCGCTTACCTGGGTTGCAGGTTTAATGCCCCAACCCCAGTTCGAGCATGCAGTTGGGGAGGGTGCAGGAGGCAATTAGTCAAGTTGTCTCTCTTACATCAATGTCTGTCTGTCTGTCTCTCTTTCCCTCCCTCCCTTGCACTCTCTAAAAATCAATGGAAAAAATGTCCTCCCGTAAGAATAAACAATACAAATTTAAAAAGGTAACAGATTTTTGAAAGATAATATAAAATGGGAAAGAATGCCACAAAGAGTTTTTTTATCTTCTCATTGTTTCTATCCTTAGTATATCTTTTCAGCATTGTCTTTTCTGTGTGTGTCCATGAAATATTATAGTGATATCCTAACCTTTCCTTAAAATATTAATGCAAACATCAAAAAAAATTGTATTAAAATACATCAAAGCTTTAGAATTTCTCAGAAAGGAGAGCTGGTTTGCCATGGACATACCTATGAAAAACATCTTGTCTCCACAGTGGAAAGAGGTCAGAAGATCAGTGAGCACATTGTCATTGGCACCCCTGGGACTGTCTTAGACTGGTGCTCCAAGCTCAAGTTCATTGACCCCAAGAAGATCAAGGTGTTTGTTCTGGATGAGGCTGATGTGATGATAGCTACTCAGGGCCACCAAGATCAGAGCATCCGCATCCAAAGGTAGGACGCTGGATCCGGGAGGAACTTCTCAGCCTTCTACTGGGTTCTCTGCTTCTCTGCTTCAGAAGCCTGTGATTGATGGGCCATGTCGGCACTGACCATACTCCCGCCTGGGTCAAGGAAAAGACTTAGGAATCTAATACCACCCTGTCCCTGCCCCATGTCTGGTCCTGCCTCTTCCCCACAGTGCTCCTCCACCTCTGCCACCCTCCAGGGGACATAGCCCATCCAAGCCTGGGGAGGCTGTGCTGCTGCTCATTCCATTGAAACACTCGGGCTCGTGCCAAACACCTGGGCCTTCCCTTGCAGGATGCTGCCCAGGAACTGCCAGATGCTGCTTTTCTCTGCCACCTTTGAAGACTCTGTATGGAAATTTGCCCAGAAAGTGGTCCCAGACCCAAACATTATCAAACTGAAGCGGGAGGAGGAGACATTGGACACCATCAAGCAGTATTACGTCCTGTGCAATAACAGAGACGAGAAGTTCCAGGCCTTGTGTAACCTCTACGGGGCCATCACCATTGCTCAGGCCATGATCTTCTGCCATGTGAGTAGCAGCAGGAGCAGCAGCAGCAGCAGCAGGCCAGCCTGGGGAGGAGTTCCATGGGAGGTGTCCAGCCCCCTCCCTCAGCCAGCTCCACCTTAGTGCTGAGGAGGACCAGCTTCTCCTGTGGGGCCAGGAAGAAAGTGAATCACTTCTACCTGCCCTAGGGCATATTCTCCTCATAATGAAATGAGTCATAAGGGGAAGACTGAAAATGGAACCATCTTGAATCCCACTTCTTAGAGATAACTTGAAAAAAACTCCAAATAACATCCAATGAAATAATGTTAAAATATTAAGACAGACTTTTTAGGAATGAAAACCTTGAGTAAAAATCACATTCTTCTTAGATGAAAACTAAGATCATTTAAGTAATTCATCCAAAATATATTATATGGCTAAAATTCTATTTGAAAAATTTAAGTCTAACCTGCTGGCTGAATGCTGTAGGTCTTCATGTATATAAATGGCAAAAAGCCACTTTTCTGCAGATGTTTTCATTTTTTTTTACAGGTATCTTCATTTAAAACAATTCTTTTCACTCCAGACCCGCAAAACAGCCAGTTGGCTGGCAGCAGAGCTCTCAAGAGAAGGCCACCAGGTGGCTCTGCTAAGTGGGGAGATGATGGTGGAGCAGAGGGCTGCGGTGATTGAGCGCTTCCGAGAGGGCAAAGAGAAGGTTCTGGTGACCACCAACGTGTGTGCCCGTGGTGAGCAGAGAACTTGTCCTGGTCTGCCAGCCTCAGGGTAGCAAGAGAACAACTCAGGTGGTTTGAGAGAAGTCATGTGGGGTTGGTGGTGACATCCTTTTCTAGGAGAGACTGGATTCCCTCAGCAGAGAAGAACTTTCACAGAAACCGAGTCCTGACTTGGTGGAAGGAAATGTACAGGCTTCTGACTGATTCACAATGGCGCCTGCTCTTCTTGGGGCAGCCATTGAGGTTTCAGCTGCATCTCCTGACACTAGTGTCTAGCAGAGGCTCCCCTACTGAGTTCTTAATTTTGTTAGCACCTGCCAAAGTCCTGTGGTTTCCTCTGGATTCTGCTCTGTGCTCCTTGTCCCGGAATCCCAGAGCTGGCCCACCCTGACTCCCTCTCCCCAAGTTGGTGTATGTGGCCTGACTGTCTCCCATTCCTTACTCTTCTCCATCTCTCCTTCACGCAGGTATCGACGTTGAACAGGTGTCTGTTGTCATCAACTTTGACCTTCCTGTGGACAAGGATGGGAACCCAGACAACGAGACTTACCTGCACCGGATCGGGCGCACTGGCCGCTTTGGCAAGAGGGGCCTGGCAGTGAACATGGTCGACAGCAAGCACAGCATGAACATCCTCAACAGAATCCAGGAGCATTTTAGTGAGTCCTGGGAGTGTCCTGCCTTTCCTATGGGGCAAGTCCGGGGGTGGGTGGAAGGGTAGGTAGTCCTGTGGCCCCTAGAGAGGCTTTGTCCCTTTGCACATTCCCCTCCTCCCCTACAATCGGCAAGTCCTCAGAGAGCACACCTGGGAGTTCAGTGTCAGGACTCGAGTGTTGGTTCCCCTCGGCCAGGCTGAGGGCCTTGGACTCGGACTGTTGTTGTCAGTGTCTAGGAACCCAGACAACGGGTTTTGGGTTTAACCGGAGGATGGATGTGGGCAGAGGTAGGGCTCGTTCCTAGCCAGGGCAGAGACCTGTGTGTTTTCTCTCCCTGCTGGGCTGCCCCTTCCCTAGGTGTGTCTCTCCATGTAACCCCATGTTGATCTCTCTTTGAATCTTTTTTTATTCTCAGATAAGAAAATAGAAAGATTGGACACTGATGATTTGGATGAGATTGAGAAAATAGCCAACTGAGAAGCTCCACCAGGCCCTGCTGCCCACCCTTGGCTCCCCCTAAGTGGGAGACTATTGCTTTCAAGTACAGGCCTCAACAGTCGCCACAAAGATGAAGGCACGATTAGAGAGAAACTACCTACCTCATTTTAAATTACGTTTGGACTTGATAAAATTGTGCAAATGATGGGGGAAGGTAGATAAAATTATTTACACAACTTTTGGAAGATTAGGCGTGAATACACAGAAATTTACCTTTTGGAAATTCTGTCTGTTTTTTGGCCAGTGTTTTCCCCATGGTTACACTAATCTAGATGCTGTACTAAATGAGCACTTGCCCGGGATCTGTCCGGCAGCCTCTGCCTGTTGTCTGGGTAGAACTGTTCAGGCCCACACCAGCTCTACTGGAAGTGACAGAACAGAGGTGAAGAGGGAACACAGAGAAGCCCCAAGTAGGACAGGTGTGTAAGCCACCCATCATGTTTGGAGTAAGATGTGAGGCAGCAGAGGAGAGCTGTGAGCTGCTGGTTTGGATGTGGGGTGGGATAGCTCAACTGAGTGTTGTCAGCCTACTCTGTACTGAAACCCACAGCAGGAGGAGATTTGGTAAGCACAAACCAAAATGCTAAGCATGGACCAAAATGCCAACCAGGGATTTTTTTTGGTGGGTGCCAAGTTTGTGTTGTAGGACCATGACCTGTTCTTTCAGCACGTGCAATCTGTGTGCAGTGCACATCTGATTACTGGTACACCCCTTGCCTGTGCTTGAGCAAGACCTGTGAAGTCATCGTGGAAAATTAGTGGTGGCTCTAGCTTGCCTAAAACCTGGTCTTGCAGGCATTTGCAGCATCTTTTTTACATCCTTGACCCCTTAGGAGTCTTGAGTAAATATAAGGTGATGTGAGATTTGTATCCTCAGTGAAAATTGTGGTTTCAAGTCACGAATAGCCAGCCTCAGGGCAGTTCCAGAAGTGATCGCAATAATCACAAATCCTTGCTTTGTCTTCAGATCCCAGAAGGCAAGTGTAACAGCTGATGAATGAGTTCAGGTATTTGGCACCTTGACTGTGAAAAGATACTGGACATCTTTGTGCAACTAAGTACAACTAAGGGATTGGGTGGAATACAACCATTCATCTGTGCAAGGCAAGAGTAACTGCCAAGACCTTTACTCCATCTTGGCATCTTTGTGCAGAGTAGTTGGAGCAAATAATAGTAATGAACATTTCTTCATGTCTGACCAAGGCTGTTGGTACTCACGAAGTGACAGAGCAAAGATGAGATGAAACTGAGTTACAAGAGTAATAGGAGTCCAGCCAAAAGGGGTCCTCTTCTGCTCTTAGAGTCTGATACAGAATGGCCTAGGACCAGGCGTGGAAGAGGGGTTTTCTGTGATGAGAACTACTCAAATCCCAGACCTTCCTTGTAGGTGTTTCTATGTTTTAGGACTAGCTCTGGTCTTGGGAAAGGAAAGGGCCTCTACCAGCTTCCAGGTGGTTACCTTAATCTGACATTACAGATACTGCAGAGAGACTAACACTCTGCCAATCCTGCTACATTCCTCCACTGGGCACTTGACTGTATAGTCTTCTCTCTGCTTCTGGCCAACTCTGACCTACTCTGGGAGTCATATAACAGAAGAAATTTAATCCCCCCACCAAAGTCCTGTGGACCAACCCTGAAATAACTAAAGACAAAGGCAATAATTAAAGGACTATAGATTCCTCATGAGGCCGCACCACCACCTTCTCACAGCACGTATAACCCATCTTCTGAGGAGCCCTAAATCTGGGCAGCAAAATGGGAAGGGATGTTTCAGACTCTTCAATAGTAGGAATAAATGGGTATATGGTAGAAATCTAGATAAATGGTTCTTAATCTGACCCCAAAGAATTCACTGGATGGGTTTTATGGAGTCTGAAGTATATGCAGTATTGAGTTTAAATGCATTTTCCAGGGAGAGACTCCCAAAAGAGTGCTTTAAAAACGTCAGACTCACTGTTATGGATAGCTCTGGAATGTCACCCCAGTGTCACTGCAGTCCATATGCCTTCATAGACCATATTCACTGCAACCAGTGCTTGGCTCCCAGGGCTCAGTAGACCAAAGCTGCCTCTGTGACCTTGTCCAGTTTTGAGACATCAGTGATGTAAAAATATATTGAGCCCTTGGTGAACTTGTCCCCAGAATTTCTTTTACTGTTCCTAGATATAGAATGATAAACTGTGCCCTAGAACAAAAATTCACTTGGGAAAAGGAGATTTTTTGATCCAATGGCAGATTCTAGATATATTCATGATCCATAAACAATTGATTTTATTGGTTTTTTTGCGTGTCATTCATTGGCTATATGCATAAAAACTAATCAATTGTTGATGTATTCTTTACTAATATTAACTGAACCTAATTGTGATATATTCATATTACTAAGATATCATTAATGACTATAAGAAGAAAACAGCATGTTTTGGTTGCTGATATTAGTAATCATACATAAGTGAAGACTCACCTATTATTCTATAAGCTAGTCATCACCTTATATTACTGTTCCATTTCAAAGTTGACATTGCTCCAACATGAGTAGTTGCGATGGCTCCATAGGCCAGGGGCTGGCCCTACCCAGTTGCCAGAGGTCTGTTCACATTCCCTTTTTTCCTGCTGGTAAACCAGAGGACGCTGGCTAATTAGAAAGAAAGTAGGTGCTAGCAAATACAAAGTTTTTACATTCAATTTTTCTAGTCCTAGGAAAGGAATAAAAATGGGATTCAGAAAGGGGTCTTCTCCCTTTGTTGTTCCCATCTCTTGTTTTTGTCTTGTTTTGGTCAGTCCTTACCCGATGATATTTTTTCCTTTGGTTTTTTTAGAGTGGAAGTGGGGGAGGGAGAGGAAGGGAAAAGAGTGACACATCCATGTGAGGGACACATTGATTGGCTGCTTCCTGATGCACCCTGACCGGGGCTGGGGATTGAACCAGGTATGTGTCCTTGACCAGGAATAGAACACTAGACCTTTCGGTGCCCAGACTGATGCTCTATTCACTAAGCCACACAGACCAGGGCCCCATGTCATTATTTAACTTGAAGGCCATTTCATTCAAAGTGCCTTGGTATTCAGAAAGTAAGGATTTCCTCCCAGCTGGTGTAGCTCAGTGGTTGAGCATCGACCTGTGAACCAGAAGGTCACAGTTCCCGGTCGGGGCACATGCCCTGGTTACCAGCTTGATCTCTGGTGTGGGACCTGCAGGAGGCAGCCAATCAGTGATTCTCATCATTGACGTTTCTCTCCCTCTCCCTTCCTCTTTGAAATCAATAAAAATAAATATTTTTTTAAAAAGGTAAGGATAACCAAGGTTAGGGAAGATTCATGAAGGAGTTTGCTTATGAGGGAAAAGGGATTTCAAGTGACAAGAAGAATGCCTTAGACCAGTGGTCGTCAAACTGCGGCTTGGCAAACTGCGGCTCGAGAGCCACATACGGCTCTTTGGCCCCTTGAGTGTGGCTCTTCCACAAAATACCGACTTCTGCGCATGGGCCACGAAGTTTCAATCGCACTGTATGTGGTTGCCCCAATTGCAATAGTATTTCCTGCATGTGGTATTTTGTGGAAGAGCCACACTCAAGGGGCCAAAGAGCCGCATGTGGCTCGCAAGCCGTGGTTTGCTGACCACTGCAGACAGACTGGTCCTATGAAGACTAACTTCACCAGGATAAACACCGTATACAGGAAGGGTAATAAGGTAAGCAGCCTAGCCATGTGGGCAGAGAAAAGCCTCAATAGGTAGAAAATGGAGATTTGATTGTTTAAACAGGATTTGGATTTATTAGTAAATTATCATAGATTCTTAGGACACAGGAGGTGATGAAATTGTGTTTTTTTGGGAGGGGCGGTTGGGAAAATTGGTCTAGTAGAGGTGTACAGGATATACTGAAGCTGGAAAGGCTGGCTTCTGAGAAACCAGCTAGAAAATTATTCCATCATTCCCATCACACAGCAAGTGCCAGGATGTCACTGGTTGTACTGAGAATGCAGGGGAAAATGGACTGGAGGGATATTACAGAGGAAGGGCAGGCTTACATACCTATCTACTATTTTTATTCCAAAGATGATTTGTAACTCAATAATTAGATACACTATACAAAATAATTCTGGGGAGAAACGCAAAGGGAAGAAAAGATCGGATCAGTGTTGAGTCTCCTACACAGCCTGTATGATGTCAGGCCTGTCATCTTTAAAGAGGGACTGGCCCCTCTCCTTCACCAACACCTCCCAAGCTGTTGTAGATTTCAGAGACTTTCTTTAGGTTTCTCCTGGTCTGGGACATAGATAGCAGGTTCTTAGGAACCCCTGTAGTTTTACCTGACTTTGCTTTTCTGATTGAGAATAAATGTTCCTTATTCTGTTGACTCAGATTACAGCAACTTCTAAAAATGATACAATGGAGGTGAGGAGACTGAAGGGCTGATGGTAGACGGCTCCAGTGCCCTAATCCTGGATCTGGGACAGGGTTTCCCCAGAGTAGCTTCAAACACCTAGTGGCAAGTGCGAGGCCAGGTGGGGATCTGCTTGGAAGATGTTACATTCCTACTTTATGTCTCTTCCTCGAGCCACTGTTGTTAGATGTTTCTTCCTTGGCTTAGAAATTGTTCTGGTTAGTATTCAGGAGAGCAAGTAGATTCTCCAAAGTAGTTTTGAATACAGATAGTTCTAAAAGTAAAATGGGGCCCAGCATGCGTGGCTCAGTGGTTGAACGTCAACCTATGAACAAGGAGATAATGGTTTGATTCCTGGTCAGGGCACATGCCCGGGTTGGAGGCTCGATCCCCAGTGTGGGGCATGCAGGAGGCAGTTGATCAGTGATTCTCTCTCATCACTGATGTATCTCTCTCTCTCTCCCTCTCTGAAATCAATAAAAAATTTTTAAGTAAAATGGGGTATAGGAGTAGGTGGAGGAAAGAATATTAAGTGAAGCCTGACAGTGGTGGCTGGCATGTCAGCTGCTCAAATGAGATACTTATTGCCTCTGCTTTATCAATATCTAATAGGCAGAGGTGGTTGGGTAGCCTTATTGCCCAGGACTACAGCCATTTCCTTCTCCCAGAGGAAATGGGAGGAGGGGTTGTTTACATAGAACTCTCTGGGAAGCACTAGTATACATTTTGTGAGTCTTTACAACTTTTCTGTTATATCCTCATTTATATGCTTCCAGTCCAATTGAAGAAAAGCCAACTAGTCTTCTGTTCTACTCCTGAAAGCAATGTCTCCACACTTAAGACTTGAAAGGACACGAGTTAGGCCCTGGTCAGGTTGTGTGGCCATGACCAGGTGTATTGTTATCTGGTCTGCGTCCCTCTCAGACACCAACAACTTCATTTGCATGGAAATCATCCTAATAAACCAATGCCATTTGAGTCCAAGTTTAACAACAAAACAGGTCCCAGTGTTTCAGTATTGCTTTGTTAATTTCTAAAGCAAGTAGGTCTATACTACAGGGACAAAATAAATATTGTCCTATTTATCTGACTTCATATTCAACATCAGTGGAGGGGACAACTTTAGGAAAAGCTGCAGTGCCTCTAACCTATGGGTCATCAGTCCTTTCTGGTTAACTCCCCCACTCTGTTCAGGGGTCATTCAAGACTCACCTCAAACTTCCCACCCCATCATCTCCCTCAGGTTTCAGCAAATCCTCTCCCTAATCCGAGGAAACAGCCAACACAGGAGACACCCACAGCCTTTCGCCACCAGACTTACCGCCAAGCACACGTCTTCCCTCTCCTCCTGTTACAACAGGAGGGATCCTTATTGTCTAAATTTTCCTATCAGTGCACTAAACTCTCTCTCCTGTGACTTTTAAGGACTTGTTCTATCGGCTCTCCCTCTCCTATTTTAACCTTTCCCACTCCCAGCCCCCAATTTTCCCAGTTGTGTTTTATTGTGGTAAAATATAAAATTTACCATCTTAACCATTTTTAAGAGTACAGTTCAGTGGTGTTAAATATATTCAGAATGTTCAACCATCACCACAGTCCATCTCCATGAACTCTTTTTTTAAAAAATATATTTTACTTTATTTATTTTTTTAAAATATATTTTATTGAGTTAGAAACATCAATGAGAGAGAAACATCGATCAGCTGCCTCCTGCACACCCCCTACTGGGGATGTGCCCGCAACCAAGGTACATGCCCTTGACCGGAATCGAACCTGGGACCCTTCAGTCTGCAGGCCAACGCTCTATCCACTGAGCCAAACTGGTTAGGGCTGAACTCTTTTTAAAAAAAAAAATATATATATATATATTTTTTATTGACTTCAGAGAGGAAGGGAGGGGGCTAGAGAGAGAAACATCAGTGATGAGAGAGAATCATTGATCAGCTGCCTCCTACATGCCCCACACTGGGGACAGCTCACAACCTGGGCATGTGCCCTGACCGGAATCGAACTGTGACCTCCTGGTTCATGGGTTGACGCTCAAGCACTGAGCCACGCCGGCGGGCGGCTCTATTCACTCTTCATCTTGTAAAATGGAAACCATACCCAATAAACCATTCCCATGACCTTTCCCTGGGAACTATCACTGTACTTCCTGTCCCTGGGATCGTGACTCTTCCTCGGTACTTTATGTAAGTGCGACCGTCCACACTTGTTTTTCTGTGACTGGCTTATGAGCCTGCGACCGGGTATGAACTCCGACCGGGAATCGAACTGGTGACCTTTTTGGTACAACGCCGAGGCCCAACCCACGAGCCGCACTGGCCAGAGGCCTACGTTACTTGTCAGAGGAACATTCCTCCCCCTTCTGTTGCCCGGTGCATATCTGAGAGCCTACTGTGTGCCATGAACTCTTCTAGGTTCACTAACCAGCTGCGTGACCGAGACATAAGATTTTTGCTCTTGTTTAAAGAGTTCAGATTCTAGTGGGGAGAGACGACAGGAAACAGGCAGCAAACAGGTCAGATACCTCTGACGGTGAGCGGATGTCTGCTGAAGGGTTACCAAGCGATAAAACGCCAGGAAGGAGATGGGCAACTGACGCGAGACGAGTGTGATGGGCCATTCTGCCGGTGCATTGATAACTATGACATTAAAAACATTTAGCTGTATGACAAACAGGTCGACGTTTACACTGTACGCCTGCTGTGTCGGACTATATAAAACACCTGTGCTGCGATGGGTCCGGACCGGGGCTGGAATGGCCGAAGAGAAGGACAAGGCCGCTGTGTTCCGGCGGGTGGGGCTGAGGGCGGGGAGGGAGGTCAGGGCTTTGGTTTCTTTGGTTTTTGCCGTCTTACCTGTCACCGCGTTCCTAACAGTGGAAACCGGCATCGTGTAGTATTCTCAGGGAACTTTTCTTTAGAGTTCAGAGATTTATAAACTTCATGAGACGTGGCTGGTTTGAAAATAAAACTTGGGTTACTTCAGCGTGAAGTTAGGCAAAGCGAGGCTACGAGTTTCACCTCACAGACCTCAGACACTGAGACACCGAGAGGCTGAGCGGCTGAGCCCGCGGAAAGCCGCGGAGCCTCGGCTTGGCGCCTGACCGGAGCGGCGCGCCCGAAACGGCCGGCGCGCGCGGAATGGTGACGTTCGCGTCCTGCCGGAATGACGTCACGTTTAAGCAGCGCCACTTCCGGTCCCGCGTGAGTTATCTTCTCGCGCCGGCGGCGGGCTCGGGATCTGTGCGAGCGTGTGCATTTTTCGCGAGCCGGCCTCCCTCCCTCCGCACCATGGCCTCCGACTCGTGGGCCCTGGCCGTGGACCAGCAGGAAGCGGCTGTCAAGTCGGTCAGTGGCTGCAGCTCCAGGGGAGAAGGAAGTAGGAGGGCCCCAGCGGACCCTGCCCCAAATCCAGGGAGCCCCCGGGGGCTGGGGGGGGGGCGGGCAGGCCGATGGCCCGCCGAGGAATCCGTGCTGATTCGAGCCTTTTGTCTCCCTCTGGGCCAGTTTAAGGCTTTTATCCGGTGGCAGTCTGTTCCCGCTACGTATGCTGTCTTTTCTGTATCGCATCTCCCAGTGGGGATGTCAAGGAGAGGCAAGTTTAGGCTGGTTCTCTTTCTCATCAAGAGGAGAACGACAATGTGCTTCTCTTATTTTAACATCGTTAACTTTGATTTTTAGAGTACCTATATTAAAGCTGGGGCCAGTGAAGCAAGGGAGTGCTTAGAATAGAAGAAGCAACAGGAGAGCCGAGGCGGGACTGCGTGGGCTCACTGGGAAGTCAGAGAAGAGGGGCCTTGGAGGCAGGTTCAGGGGTGAGCCTGGGTGGAGCCGCCGCTGCCCACTGCTCCCCTGGTTGCAAGTCTCTTGGGGATCGTTAGTCTCTAGGAGATGCACTCCTGAGAGGGAAGATAGGCTCCCAGGAGGGAGAGTGCCTTGTTTGAACATTTTTTAGGTCCATGCTTAACATGGTTGGTAGTTTGTAGCTATGCAGAATAACAGATTTCTGTTTTTATATATTTTATTCAAAAAGTATGATATGGCCCGGACGGTATGGCTCAGTGGTTGAGCATGGACCCATGAACCAGGAGGTCAATAGGAATCAAATACAGCCAGGGCGAATGCCAGGGTTTTGGGCTCAGTCCCCTGTGTGTGTGTGTGTGTGTGTGTGTGTGTGGCAGGGGGGTGGGGGGGGGGTGTGGGGAGTGGCGTGCAGGAGGCAGCCCACCAGTGATTCTCATCATTGATGTTTCCCTCTCCCCTTCTCCTTTCCTCTCTGATACCAATTTTTTAAAAAAGTATGATACAGTATATGGTTCTGGTGCTCTCGAGTTTACAATCTAGTGTTTTTTAGCATCAGATCTTTCTTAAACGACAGTTACTGAGAATTTGTTTAACATCTTTTTAAACCATTTTCCTAATCTAGATGAGATATGAATATATTTGGTATCTGGTTCTAAACAATTTGCTTATCAGGAGGCTGATGTAACTTAGTGTTTTAAAACACTGCTTCCTGATAGTTGGTAAAAACCCTCCCCTCTTTTTATTTTACCATATAGACTTGTGTACATTAGCTTAATACAGGGGTGGGCAAACTTTTTGACTCAAGGGCCACAATGGGTTCTTAAACTGGACCGGGGGGCCGGAACAAAAGCATGGATGGAGTGTTTGTGTGAACTAATATAAATTCAAAGTAAACATCATTACATAAAAGGGTACGGTCTTTTTTTTTTTTAGTTTTATTCATTTCAAACGGGCCGGATTCAGCCCGCGGGTCGTAGTTTGCCCACGGCTGGCTTAATACATAATTCATGGTATTAAGTTATCCTGTGGCTCTGCTCTCAAGTGTTTTCTTTTATTTCCATTCAGATCAGTAATTTGCAGATCAAGGAAGAGAGAGTCAAACCAGATACCAATGGTGAGTCACGAGCAATTGTAAGCTGGTACAAGTTATAAGTTTGCTTCTGCTTTGTACTCATAGCTGTAATGTGAAAAGGAGCTTTCATTTAGCATGTTCGGCAAATGTTCGCTCTGGATTTGACAGCCGGTAAAGTCGGTTTCACACTGAAGGGGATATGTTATTTTTCCAGATTTGATCTAACCTCTGTCACTGTTCACTTGATAATGTTTCTTTAAAATTTTTAAAGGTTCATCTGGGTTCAAAACTCATAAAGTACCCGGTCAGCATGGCTCAGTGGTTGAGCCTTGACCTATGAACCAGGAGATCACGGTTAGATTCCCGATCACAGCACATGCCCGGGTTGTGGGCTTCATCCCCAGTAGGGGATGTGCAGGAGACAGCCAATCAATGATTCTCTCTCATCGTTGATGTATCTATCTCTTTCTCCCTCACCCTTCCTCTCTGCAATCAATAAAAATATTTTTAAAAAACCCACAAACAACTCATAAAGTATAAACAGGTGAAAGGCCTTTCCATCTGGCCACCATTTACCCAGTTCCCAATCTCCACCTGTTACTAGTTTGCTAGGGCTGCCATAACAAAGTATCACAAACTGGGTGGTTTGAACAATAGAAATTTATTTTTTAAATATATATTTTTATTTATTTCAGAGAGAGAGGGAGAGAGAGAGAGAGAGAGAGAGAGAGAGAAAGAGAAACATCAATGATGGAAGAGAATCATTGATTGGCTGTCTCCTGCATGCCCCCTACTGGGGATCAAGCCCACAACCTGGGCATGTACCCTTGATGGGAATCAAACCCAGGACCCTTCAGTCCGCAGGCCGACACTCTGTCCACTGAGCCAAACCGGCTAGGGCTGAACAATAGAAATTTATTGTCTCACAGTTCTGGAGGCCAGAAGTCCAGGATCAGATTGTCCGCAGGGTTGGTTCCTTCTGAGGGCTGTGAGGAAGGATCTGGCAGTCTGGTGTTCCTTGGCTTATAGAAGCATCACCCCAATCTGTCTTCGTCTTCACATGGCATTTTCCCTGTGTGCATATCTATGTTTAAATTTCCCCTTTTTAGAAGGACATTAATCGTATTGGATTAGGGCCCACCCTAATGACCTCATCTTAGCCATTTACATCTGCAATGACCCTATCTCAAAACAAGGTTACATTCTGAGGTACATTCTTAGGACTTCAACATATGAATTGGGGGTCGGTCCACAATCCACATTTCAGCCCAGCAATTTTACTGTTTGATTTGTTTGTCCCCTTATAGTTTGTTCTCTGCCTCTTTTCCTGCCTTCTTTTGGGTTAAGTAAATATCTTAGATTCCCATTTAAATTTATGGGGTTTTTTAGCTGTACCTATTTGCATTATTTTATGCGTGATTTAAAGTTTTCTTCATCTAAGTCTTGCGTATTTTTGTTAACTTTATTTCTAGGTGCAACATTTTATCTTTTTAGTTGCTATTATAAGCCAGATTTTTTCAATTATATCTCTCTATATAATTATGTAAACTACTGATTTCTGTTTACTTAAGTTGATACTTAGCCCTAAAAGTTTACAGTCATACATTCTATAAAAAGTGATCATTTTACCTCTGTCTTTTAATTTTTCTTTCTCATGTTTAATTATGTTTGCTAATATAAAGCTATAGTTTATTTTAAGGTAAGTAAGTCAGAGGTGACATTCTGCTGATCACTTTGAAGTCAGCCAAAATTTCTAGAAATTTGAAATTTTCTTATGCACTTAAAAATTTCGTAGGAATAAAAATTTATTAAACACAAAGAAATGCCAACTATTACATTTTGATCACGTAAAATAAATTTTAGTATTTACATTGTCCCACCTTTTGGGTGGGTTTGATATTTGCTTTTCTGATTATGACAACTGTTTTCTTGTGTAGGTGTTATCAAAACCAATGCCACTGCAGAGAAAACAGATGAAGAAGAGAAAGGTAACTACTCATTGAAACCCTGTAGCAAGAGACACAGTATGACCCAGGACTTGCCTTTCTGGAGCCAGAGGTATTCTTAGTTATAAGATGAAGGGGAAGAAGAGGAATCCACAAAGGAGATTGAGAAGACACAATCAGTGAAATAGGACCAAAAGAGAGTGCTGTCCCCGAAATCAGAAGAAGGAAGTTTTTCCAAAGTAGGGAGTCAAATATAGGTAACAAGTTAATTAAGAGAAGAACTAACAATTGCCTTTTGGATTGATTTAGCAGTGTAGGCATCATTGGTGAGTTTGACAAGGGCTGAGGTTAAGTGGAGAGGTTAAATAAGGACCCTATTCCATGTACATTCAACAGAAGGGGAGGAGAGGAAGTGGAGATTAACATAGATAGCCTTTTTAGGGAACATTCTATAAAGGGGAGGGGAGCGTCACAAGGATGGAGTTTGCCAGATGAGTGAAGAAAATCAGCTGGTGACCCTGGCCAGGTAGCTCAGTTGATTAGGACATCATCCTGATACGCCAAGGTTGCGGGTTCGATCCTTGGTCTGGGCACATAAAAGAATCAACCAATGAATGCTTATATAAGTGTAACAACAAATCGATAGTTCTCTCTCTCTCTCTCTCTCTCTCTCTCTCTCTCTCTCTCCCTCTCTCTCTCTTTCTAAAATCAATAAAAAATTTTAAAAATTAGAAAAAGAAAATCTACTGGTTTCTTTCTGACAGAGGACAGAGCTGCCCAGTCCTTACTCAACAAGCTGATCAGAAGCAACCTGGTCGACAACACAAACCAAGTGGAAGTCCTGCAGCGGGACCCAAAGTCCCCCCTCTACTCAGTGAAGTCCTTCGAGGAGCTTCGGCTGTGAGTATTTGTTTCTTTGAGCTGTTTCTTATCCGCCCCTCTTTTATAAAACTTAGCATCACACAGATTCTTGTGGGAATTTTACTTTTATTTTTAAAAACACTGCTTGACCGGTGTGGCTCAGTGGTTGAGTGTCGATCCATGCACCAAGAGGTTGCTGGTTCGATTCCTGGTCAGGGCACTTGCCCAGGTTGCAGGCTTGATCCCTAGTGGGGGGCCTGCAGGAGGCAGGCAATCAATATTGATGTTTCTTTCTCATTGCTGTTTCTATCTTTCCCTCTCCCTTCCTTTCTCAAATCTAAATAATCAATAAGATATATATTTTTTAAAATCCTAATATATTTATCTCGTTGACTAGTTAATAATTCACATGATTCAAAAGTCAAAAAGTATGAAAAAGGTGACAGTGATGGTCTCCCTCCTACCCTTGTCTCTTTGCTTCCCGGTTCTCCTCCTCTTGATAGGGATTTTTAAATGCCACAGATTTATTCATCATAGCTGAAAGTCTTTTTTCTTTTATGCTCTTAGAACTTTCAATAAAATATTGGCTGACAGGTGATTTCTGGATGTCAGGAACATTTCTTATTAGGTAAGCTCTTTCGTTAGACTATAGGGTTTATGGTCTTAAGAACAGTTTATCTGCTTTTATCAAATGTGTCAAAAGAGCCTGTACAGGATTCCCAGGACCTACAGTGCAAAGCAGCCTTCAACATTCTGGAATTTTTAAAAAGTCCAGAACCCAGAATTGAATCTTAGGGGAGCACATGGATGGCATTGCGCTAAGAATGACTTCTAATGTGTCAGTATTTTAAAGAGATAATTATGAAAGGATATACCAAGTTTTTTGTTTCTTCAGTAAGTTAGTAAAGAGGTGTGCATGGCTCATAGGTTTATGTACATGCCACTGTGCTGGGTGTTATGAGTGACAGAACATAAACTAACATTCTTGCTGCCTGCCAGGACCCAAATCATAGACAGGAAATAGCTGGTAAATAAGAAAGTGGTGGAATAAATGGATTCTTTACCTTTATTCAGCAAAATCTGTAGTATGCCCACTGTGAGCAAACAGAGGCTACATTTCTACCAACTATTAACACTAATCAAAGTGTGGCTGTTTTTTAATGATTTTAGGAAATTGTAATTTTCTGTATTTTCTCTCAAGGGCTTCATTCAACAAATCTGTCATTTCTGCTCTGTTCATAAACTGCATTAGGGCAGCTAGATGTGCTCTACTGTTTCCTGAACTCACAGTTTGCTTTTCCAAGTATCAGTGGTTTTTTTTTTAAGTTTCTTTCACGTAAAGGATTGGAGCTCTCAGTTCAACTAATGATGAATTGTCCTCTGAAAAGGCAAGTTCTCTCTGATTTAGCTATTGGTCGCCAAAGGAAACAAAGAATGAAACCTAGGTCACCTAGTATACTTGGTCTGTTTTTGTATTTAAAAGATTTGAATTAATCTGCAAAATGAAAGAAAAAAAAATTGAGCCACTGGAAGCTCTTAGATCACTTGAAAATCCTCATTCAATAGTGACTGTTTCCTTGACAACCAAATCAGAATCTGCTGGCATTACAGCCTTTCTTCCAAATGGCAGACACCAAAGGTTATGTTCTCAAAGTTCTTTGTGTCTGAGAACCAACATAGGCCAGAAGAATTTGCCTTTGAGAGAGTCTGTTGAACTCCAAGAAGGGCTTAGGACAGAAGTCTTGACTTGGTTTGACTTTTTTGGGAAATAATCTAGTATGATTTTTGTTAAACACCCTGTTTAAAGGTAACAGAGAGCTTATTGTAAATGCAATGTAAGAGCAACTTATATAAGAAGTTGGTGCTTTTCTATTCTTGATTTTGACTAGACATAAATAAATCTGAGCATTTGTAAAGTTCAGGATGATAACTGAACCCTCTCTTACTGTATAGATCAGCTACTAGAAACTGGCTGAATCAGTCTTCTTCTTAATTTTTCCAGGTATTTGCACTTGACTTTTCCAGGCTGGCTTTGGAAGGACCATTGAACACAGAATGGCTGGTTCACTTTAATATCTGCTGAGAAATTCCAATTGAAATCCCATTCTCCTAAGGGATTTCTATTTCTTAGCAGCATAGGAAGCAGTTTTACTTTTAAATATGTCTTTTATAATTTACTTTGCACCATGAATTAATAAATACCACTCTTGCAGTATCCAGGGAACATTGGTCACAGAAGGCCAATCATATTTGTGGATGTGCTAAAAGCATGAATTTCTATGAGAAAGGAAACTAATCTATATTTTATGAATTGCATAATAGTTGCAGATTAAGATCTAGTAGGAAAAGATGGTTTCGTCATCATTCTTTGCTAGATATAGGGAAAGATAAAAATCTAGGCCTTTTAAACAGTCTCAACAACTAGAGATTCCTTTTCTCTCTCCCTGGCCTCCCAGGAAACCACAGCTTCTTCAGGGAGTCTATGCCATGGGCTTCAACCGACCATCCAAGATACAAGAGAACGCGTTACCCATGATGCTTGCTGAGCCGTGAGTATGCACCTCTTCAGAATTTGGTTTAATGTCACCCATCAACAGCTGTTACTGTGTGGAGACCAAGATGGGACGTTTGGGGCAACATGTTTCTTCAGGGGAATAGCTTGAATTGGGTTTTTACAAATTATTTTGAAATATTTGAGACCTGCAAAAAGGTGTCAAGAGCAATACCAAGAACACCTGCCAAGAAATAAAACATCATTTAGTCGTTGGCAGTTGTATACCCTTCTCCGCTCATAACCTCTCCCACCAAAGTGAGCATCATCCCGAAGTGGGTCATCATTTCCTCATTTCTTTATACTTTTATTAGGTTTCTGTGTGCCCTAAGCATCTAGAGTAGTTTATATATTTTTAAACCTTAGATAAGTGATATACTTTTGTGTAGCAACTTTTTTTAAAAAGACATGTTTTTATTGATTTGAGAGAGAGAGAGAGAGAGAGATCAATAATAAGAGAGAATCATTGATCGGCTGCCTACTGCATGCCTCTTACTGGGGACCGAACCCGCAATCCAGGTATGTGCCCTGACTGGGATTCAAACTGTGACCTCCTGGTTCATGTGTCGATGCTCAACCACTGAGCCACTCCGTCAGGGCTTGTTTTTCTTTTTTAATGACAAAAATGCCACCTATTTCCATGACAATGGGTTACACGAAGTGAAATGTGAAAGTTCCCTCTAAAGTATCTGTCTGACTTAGAATCTTACATTTTCTATAAAGATGGAAAAGGGAACACACAGAAGGAGCTGAGTGCTAGAGGCACATTATGGCTCAACAGAAAACATTCTCGGGGACTTGTCTTATTGGCACAGACCTTACTGTGCTATCTTAGTTTCCGCGGGACCCCTAAGGTACAGAACTAGGGCACTAGCTGTGCTAGAGTCTAGAGTAAGGACTTCTTGGTGTGGACCCATCTAAAACAATCATTTTCCATAATATTTAAGCAGTTTTATAACAACATAAAAACATTTGTCGCCCTAACTGGTTTGGCTCAGTGGATAGAGCGTTGGCCTGCGGACTGAAGGGTCCCAGGTTCGATTCCGGTCAAGGGCATGTACCTGGGTTGCGGGCACATCCCCAGTGGGGAGTGTGCAGGAGGCAGCTGATCGATGTTTCTCTCTCATCGATGTTTCTAACTCTCTATCCCTCTCCCCTCCTCTCTGTAAAAAATCAATAAAATATATTTTTTAAAAAACACAAAAAACATTTGTCATTGTTCTCAATGCAGAAAATCTGGACTAAAGGAGGAAATCCATATTCCTACTACTCAGAAAGAACATCTTGACACCTTTGTGTGTGTTTAACCAATCTTATTTTCATCTCTCTTCTTCCTTCATCCAGTCCACAGAACCTGATTGCCCAGTCTCAGTCTGGTACTGGGAAAACAGCTGCCTTTGTCCTGGCCATGCTCAGCCGAGTGGAGCCAGCAGAGAGATACCCCCAGGTGAGGGCTGGGGAATCCTGGGTCCTCACTCGCCTGGGCACTGCCATCTGGTGGGGGATTGACGAGGGTTCCCCTGGAGGGTTCTGAACATTCCCTGTGCTTCAAACTGTGGCTCAGGCAGAGCAGGACGTGGGTAAAATTCATTCGAAAGCACCTTTAAACAATAGCTCCCAAAGGCATCCCCCAGCCAAACTGCAAGGTTGGCCTGGTTGAAAGGATGTGGTTCCCTGCACTGTTCAAGTGCTAATAACATCAGCATACTTGTTGCTTTAGAGCCTGTTGTGTTACTGAAAGGGTCTCCTAAAGTCATCCTTTATGATCCCCCTTCAGTGCCTTTGCCTCTCCCCAACATATGAGTTGGCGCTTCAAACAGGAAAAGTGATTGAGCAGATGGGCAAATTTCATCCAGAACTAAAGCTTGCTTATGCTGTTCGAGGCAATAAATGTGAGTATAAAGAGGTGAGCCCTAAGCAGTGAGTAGGGTAGGGTGGTTGGGTGTTTGAATGCTGAAACATGATGATGATTATTCAACTCTGGTTCAATCTGACCTTAGAGCCCAAATGCATTGATTTTAGCCAATGTATTTAATTACTTGCTAATTTGTTAACAGTTCTCTCCACCCTTAACATAAGATTTTGCATTGTTAGAAAATGCCTGGGTCCAGGCGTTCTTCACTGACAAGATAAGGTTTTGAATTTGGCATCCAGAGTTCTGGAAGCTGCTTACTAGAGAGGGATGGCAGCACTGAGGATGCGGGGTGGAGGTCAGATACCTTTCTTTAAAAATGCCCAGCGCCAAAACCGGTTTGGCTCAGTGGATAGAGCGTCGGCCTGCGGACTGAAGGGTCCCAGGTTCGATTCCGGTCAAGGGCATGTACCTGGGTTGCGGGCACATCCCCAGTGGGAGATGTGCAGGAGGCGGCTGATCGATGTTTCTCTCTCATCGATGTTTCTAACTCTCTATCTCTCTCCCTTCCTCTATGTAAAAAATCAATAAAATATATTTTTTAAAAAAATGCCCAGCAGGCATGGCTTAGTGGTTGAGTGTTGGCCTATGAACCAAGAGTTACTGTTCGATTCCCAGTCAGGACATATACCCAGGTTGTGGATTCGATCCCAGTATGTGGCATGCAGGAGGCAGCCGATCAATGATACCCTCTCCCTTCCTCTCTGAAATAAATAAAAATACGTATTTTTAAAAAGTAAGCACAGCTTTAGTAAGAGTAAACTAAGAGCATGTATAGCTCTCTTGGTCTTATCAGAATCAGAAATCCTCCAGCAGTTCTTTCTTCTGTGTATTCTGCAGAATGTAATGTAGAGAATATGGTTTAAAATGAGGTAGGGCAGGTAGAAAGTGGGTCATTAGGAAGTTAATGGAATATTTAAAAACTACAAATCATTAAGAAAAGACAAAAGAGCCCTGGCTGGTTTGGCTCAGGGGATAGAGTATCAGCCTGTGGACTGAAGGGTCCTGGGTTTGATTCCGGTCAAGAACACATGCCAGGTTGTGGGCTCAATCCCCAATAGGGGGCGTGCAGGAGGCAGCCAGTCGGTTATTCTCATCATTGATGTTTCTATCGCTCTTTCCCTCTCCCTCTCTGAAATCAATAATATATAAAAAAGATACATAGTTTTAAAAAAAGACGAAAGAGGCCCAGCTGAACAGACACTTCACAAAAGAAGGAATTCAGATGGTCAGTAAACATGAAAAAATGAGCCTCATTAGTCATCACAAAAATGTAAATTAAAACCACTACACACATCTCAGGTGGGCAAAAATGAAGAAATCTGACAATTACCAGTATTGATGAAGCCACAAAACTGGAATGCTCACACATTTCTGGCAGGAGTATACACTGGTACAATCACTTTAGAAAACAGTTTGACGTTACCTAGAAAAGTTGAAGAGAGACATCCTTTTGACCCAAAAGTTTATAATTGCCTACAGCAGTGCTTCTCAAGTTTTTGGGTCTCTTAACACTCTTTTTTTTTTTTTTTAATTTATAGATTTAGGGGGTGAGAGAGAAACATCAATTTGTTGTTCCACTTATTTATGAATTCATTAGTTTATTCTTGTATGTGCCCTGACGAGACTGAACCCACAACTTGGGCGTATCGGGATGACTAACTGAGCTACCCATCCAGGGCCAGTCTTCTACACTCTTAAACATTATTGAGGACCCCAAAGTATTTTTGCCAATTTGGGAGAAAATCAGTGAATCACGAGTGAGTGAATGGTATGAAAAGGACAAGATAATGCTAAAGAGAAAGAGTTGGATGGCGTTGAATTATAGAAGGTAGGAAGGAACTAACACTTACTGAGGTTTCACTGTGTAGGATTTTATCCTGACCACATGCAGTCAGGTAGGTGTCATTATGCCCACTTTACAGTACAACCAAGACTTGGGAAACAGTCCTGTATCCTTTGAAATCTGTAATTAACTTGTTCTAAAAGCTCTGGAAGAATGGGGCAAGGCTTTGCTTCCCAAAGCTGGTTTTGCCATGGAAATAACCACAGAACACCTCTTGTCTCCACAGTGGAAAGGGGTCACAAGATCAGTGAGCACATTGTCATTGGCACCCCTGGGACTGTCTTAGACTGGTGCGCCAAGCTCAAGTTCATTGACCCCAAGAAGATCAAGGTGTTTGTTCTGGATGAGGCTGATGTAATGATAGCTACTCAGGGCCACCAAGATCAGAGCATCCGCATCCAAAGGTAGGACGCTAGATTGGGAGGAACTTCTCAGCCTTCTACTGGGTTCTCTGCTTCAGAAGCTTCAGAAGCCTGTGATTGATGGGCCATGTCGGCACTGACCATACTCCCGCCTGGGTCAAGGAAAAGACTTAGGAATCTAATACCACCCTGTCCCTGCCCCATGTCTGGTCCTGCCTCTTCCCCACAGTGCTCCTCCACCTCTGCCACCTTCCAGGGGACATAGCCCATCCAAGCCTGGGGAGGCTGTGCTGCTGCTCATTCCAGTGAAACACTCGGGCTTGTGCCAAACACCTGGGCCTTCCCTTGCAGGATGCTGCCCAGGAACTGCCAGATGCTGCTTTTCTCTGCCACCTTTGAAGACTCTGTATGGAAATTTGCCCAGAAAGTGGTCCCAGACCCAAACATTATCAAACTGAAGCGGGAGGAGGAGACATTGGACACCATCAAGCAGTATTACGTCCTGTGCAATAACAGAGACGAGAAGTTCCAGGCCTTGTGTAACCTCTACGGGGCCATCACCATTGCTCAGGCCATGATCTTCTGCCATGTGAGTAGCAGCAGCAGCAGCAGCAGCAGCAGGCCAGCCTGGGGAGGAGTTCCATGGGAAGGTGTCCAGCCCCCTCCCTCAGCCAGCTCCACCTTAGTGCTGAGGAGGACCAGCTTCTCCTGTGGGGCCAGGAAGGAAATGGTTTGTGAAGATGTAAGAGGCAATTTTTAGTGTCCTGAGGTATACATAGCCTAAGCATAGAGCACCTTGAATTTTCTTTAGAGAGAGTGGAAGGGAGGAAGAGAGGGGGAGAGAGAGAGAAATATTGATTGGAGACAGACATCGATTGGTTGTATCCCCCCACCAGGGCCAGGATTGAACCTGCAATACCAGGTACAGTGCCCCTGACGGAATCAAGCCTGTGACCCTTTGCTCTAACCATTTGCCACACTGGCCATTGCTTACTGAGTCATTGTTAAGGTAGTTGTAGACATCATGACAAATTCACAACTAAATATTTCCCAAGAATGACCATGATACCATTACCACACCTTGAACAATGGTACAGTGATAGTGATATTACCCCCTAAACAGTTCATCCGTATCCCATATTCCCCACCTGTTACCACAAAGGTTCTTTATTGCTTTTGGTTGCTGTTGCTAAACCAAAGAGCCATTCAGAGATTGTTGCATTTAGTTGTCATGTCTCCTGAGACTCACTTAATCCCACCAGTTTCCCCACCTTTCATGACATGGATATCTTAAAGAGTCCAGGCTAGTAAGTATAATTTTTCTGATTTTTCACCCTTTTGATTATTTTTAGATCAAATATTTTTGACCCAGGTGACATTGTTACTTCCTGGTACACTATCAAGTTAACAATTTTAGGAAATTTAACCCTTAGCTGAAGTTTCAGGTAGAGTTTTCTAAATCAAAAATATTCTCTTCAGGGACTTTGATTTCTCAAATGTTTTCTTCCTTCAGACCCGCAAAACAGCCAGTTGGCTGGCAGCAGAGCTCTCAAGAGAAGGCCACCAGGTGGCTCTGCTAAGTGGGGAGATGATGGTGGAGCAGAGGGCTGCGGTGATTGAGCGCTTCCGAGAGGGCAAAGAGAAGGTTCTGGTGACCACCAACGTGTGTGCCCGTGGTGAGCAGAGAACTTGTCCTGGTCTGCCAGCCTCAGGGTAGCAAGAGAACAACTCGGGTGGTTGGGAGAGGTCATGTGGGGTTGGTGGTGACGTCCTTTTCTAGGAGAGACTGGATTCCCTCAGCAGAGAAGAACTTTCACAGAAACCGAGTCCTGACTTGGTGGAAGGAAATGTACAGGCTTCTGACTGATTCACAATGGCGCCTTCTCTTCTTGGGGCAGCCATTGAGGTTTCAGCTGCATCTCCTGACACTAGTGTCTAGCAGAGGCTCTCTTACTGGCTTTTTTTTACATATATATTTTTGTTTATTTCAGAGAGGGAGAGGGAGAGATAGAAACATCAATGATGAGAGACAGTCATTCATTGGCTGTCTCTTGCACGCCCCCTATTGGGGATTGTGAACCTGGGACCCTTAAGTCCTCAGGCGGAGGCTCTGTCCACTGAGCCAAACCAGCTAGGGCTCCTACTGAGTTCTTAATTTTGTTAGCACCTGCCAAAGTCCTGTGGTTTTCCTCTGGGTTCTGCTCCGTGCTCCTTGTCCCGGAATCCCAGAGCTGGCCCAACCTGACTCCCTCTCCCCAAGTTGGTGTATGTGGCCTGACTGTCTCCCATCCTTACTCTTCTCCATCTCTCCTTCATGCAGGTATCGACGTTGAACAGGTGTCTGTTGTCATCAACTTTGACCTTCCTGTGGACAAGGATGGGAACCCAGACAACGAGACTTACCTGCACCGGATCGGGCGCACTGGCCGCTTTGGCAAGAGGGGCCTGGCAGTGAACATGGTCGACAGCAAGCACAGCATGAACATCCTCAACAGAATCCAGGAGCATTTTAGTGAGTCCTGGGAGTGTCCTGCCTTTCCTATGGGGCAAGTCTGGGGGTGGGTGGAAGGGTAGGTAGTCCTGTGGCCCCTAGAGAGGCTTTGTCCCTTTGCACATTCCCCTCCTCCCCTACAATCAGGAAGTCCTCAGAGAGCACACCTGGGAGTTCAGTGTCAGGACTCGAGTGTCGGTTCCCCTCGGCCAGGCTGAGGGCCTTGGACTCGGACTGTTGTTGTCAGTGTCTAGGAACCCAGACAACGGTTTTTGGGTTTAACCGGAGGATGGATGTGGGCAGAGGCAGGGCTCGTTCCTAGCCAGGGCAGAGACCTGTGTTTTCTCTCCCTGCTGGGCTGCCCCTTCCCTAGGTGTGTCTCTCCGTGTAACCCCATGTTGATCTCTCTTTGAATCTTTTTTTATTCTCAGATAAGAAAATAGAAAGATTGGACACGGATGATTTGGACGAAATTGAGAAAATAGCCAACTGAGAAGCTCCTACAGGTCCTGCGCAGGAAACTGATGCTTTCACAGCACAGGCCGGACGTCACCGAAGGACAAAGGCACGAGTGGAGAGAAACCACCTGCCTTATTTTAAACTACGTTTGGCCTTGACAAAAATTATGCAAATGATTGAGAAAGGTAGAGGAAATTTTGCATTTGAGAAATGTAGTCCTTTTCCCCCATTTTTTTAAGCCAAGATTTCCCCCATCTTTATAGTAATCTGGTTGCTATTGGTATTCGCTGGCCCCAGGATTCCATCCCTGTTATCTGGCTAGGGATGTTGGGACCTCATCCAGCCCCTGCAGAAGTGGGAGAGGTAGAGTGTGGGAGAGGCCCACCGCATGGATGGAGTGAGGGGAGCGGCAGCAGAGGCCTGTGAGCTGTCCTTGACTGAGACCAGTCACAAATGTCTCCTGTCCTTGGAGCCATCTTCTCCTAAAGTGCAGAGACGTTCCAGTTAATCTATTTAACCTCTGCTCTCTGTGCCAGAGGATATCCCTGTTTCTCCCTGGGTGAGCATCTTGGATACTTTGTGAACCTGATTGGGAAGAAACATGGATGTCAGTGAATTTTCAGAAGGATTTGTCTGGCAGGGGCTATGACTCCTTTGAGAATCCAGGCCTGACTTCTCTTGCATTTGCTCTGTCTGCTTGTGCACCCAGTAATCATTCATGGCAGCCAGGAGACACTGGGCAATTGTCTGACACATGCCCGGCCAGGTGAGATGGCTCTTATCCGTGGGGGGTCCACACTGTGCCTGGAGGGGAGCAGCACAGTTTGGAAAGGAAGTTATGACCAAGTGAAAGCTTGGGATTATTCTGTTCATCTGTAATAGTGGATCTATTGGTCACTTTACTTCATACACAGTGTGAATGTGGACGGAGAAACTAGAGCTGTGCCCATCATTCATTATGTTAAGAAATTTTAAAATAATTATGAAACATTTTACTTACCTTGATTTGTCTTTATTTGTATTTTTCTGGTTATTAGACTAATATGTGCACATTAAAAAATATATTTGGGTAACTATGAAGTGCAAGTACTCTCTATCCTCACCTCTCTGGGGTCACCATGGCTAGCAGCTTGGTGAACATTCAATATATTGCCTTCTGTTTGCATATATGGACCTACTTTGCTTTTAAAAAATGTGAACATTCTACTCCCACTCTTGGGCAACTCGCCATTTCACTTACCAGCATATTTTGTTGATTGTTTTTTGTCTTTGTGACTCTCTTACCAGCATATTGTGGACATGTGACATGTCCGGCACACGTAGATCAATCTCGCTGTTGACAGTGGCATCATTCCAGCATGTGGCTGCCTAGCATTTATTTCATGGCTCCTCTAGTGAAGGCATATGGGGGTTCCACTCTGTTGTGTCGCCACAGTGCCTCATCACTATCCTCGGTCACCTCTGCCCTGCCGAGACTCACTCTAGGATGTATTGTTGGAAGTAGAGTTGTTGGGTCAAAGACTGGGGACATTTAAACTTTTAATACATTGCTAACTTAGTTTGCCAAAAGATTTTTACCAATGTATGTTATTGCAGTTATACAGAAATACTACTATTTTCTTACCTGCTTGCCAACACTGTACATTTATTAATTTTTAAAACTTTGCCAGTCTGTACAGCAAAAGTAGATTATATCATTGCTTTTTTGTTTTGTATTTAGTGAGGTTTGGCAAATTTTCAAGTTTATTGGATATTTGTATTATTCTTGTTTCACCATTTTACTACTGAATTGTCAATCTATTTTAAGGAAATTAAACTTTGTCTTGAGTTGTAGATGTTTTCCTAGTTTGTCTTTACAAACTCATTTTTTCTTAACTACTACACAAAAGTTTAATTTTAATGTTACATTTCATTTTTATTTTAAGAAATCTGAATTTTATGTCATGGCTAGAAAAGCTTTCCTCATGCCAGCATTATAAATTATTCACTCCCATTTCCTGTTCTGGCAGTTCTTGGGCAGTTAATTTTCTGAATTATCGTGGGTCTCAAAATGTTTTGCCCTGCTCATTGGCTGTGAGTGATTATGGTACCTTAGAAGGTGAGTGGTGACATGGCTGTGGTGTGTGGGCTAGAGCCATGGTGACTGAGTGAATGGGAAGGAGCTGCACTGAGCTTGGCCTGCACCCTGGCTGGACGTGAGAGTTATGTTAAAACCTGGGCCGAGAAATGGGGTGGGAGGACTTGGACAGGAAACTGACACACAGTTCTGTTGACTCTGCCTGTCTGGTCTGTGATATCCCCAGTTAACTGAATGTCTACAGACTTGGTTCTAGAATAAGGGCCAAAGGAGTGAGGAGCTAGATGGAGTCAACTGCTAAATCCATTTGGACTGCGGGGAGAGAAGAAACCTAACACTAAGAAAGACTGCAAACATCAATAAATTAAATTCACCCCAGATAAAATTAATTTTATGGAATGGTCTGATAAAAGACTTTACATATGTTTGTGTGCTCAAAGAGAAAAATACATTCACTAAAAAAGAGCAAGAGCCCTGGCCAGTGCACCGAAAAGTCTCCAGTTCTATTCCCAGTCAGGGCACATGCACAGGTTGCAGGTTTGTTCCCTGGTCAGGGTGCCTACAGGAAGCAACCCAATGTTTCTCTCATCAATGTTTCTCTCCCTCTCCCTTCCTCTCAAATCAATAAACTTTTAAATAAATATATATTTAAGTTACACACACTAGTGGCCTGGTGCACAAAATTCGTGCACATTAAAGGGAATTAATCAGAAATATTTTAATATTGCTATTTGCCCTTTCTCTATAATAGAAGTGTCAGAGATGAAAGAAAATTAGTAAAATGTATATGAAAATCTTCCTCCTGTCAGAGTCGGGCACGCCACGGGATCCAGAGTTGAGTACCCGCCCACCCGCGTGCACCTTGAAATCGTACAGGCCCCAGTCCTGTCAAACCCCATAGGGTGGGGGGCGCAGCCTCAGGTCCCCAGCCCCGGCGCGAGGGCACGAGGGCATGGTGACCATTTGCATATTAGCTCTTTATTATATAGGATAGTCAATACCACATCCCTGCAGGATTCGCAGAGATTGGTGCCGCCATCAAACTTGAATTATGCAGGGATGGATGTTTTCTTCCTAGTCCTATTTATTCACCATCCGAGTCATGGGGAATGACAGTAGTTTATTGCAAATGTAATCAAGTGGTAATGCCAACCTGTGTATTCAGATGTGGTATCTTTGCTGGATCAAAGCAATATAGTCCTCAGCCAACATCGAGGGGGGAAAAAAAGACACGGTTTGGTGGAACTCTTGATTCTTAACATTTGGGAGTGCTGCTGCAACCAATCCTATATAATAAAACCCTAATATGCAAATTGACCAAACCGCAGAATGACCGGTCGCTATTATGCGCACTGACCACCAGCGGGCTGATGCTCAATGCAGGAGCTGCCCCCTGGTGGTCAATGTGCTCCCACAGTGAGAGCACCGCTCAGCTGACCGACCCATCCAAGCGGCCTACCAGCTCGGAGGCAGCCACTCACTCCCTCAGTAGTCCTGCAGGTCCAATCTCTGGAGAACGGGCCAGACACTGATGGACCAGTGCCACCAGCCTGATCCCGACAGCGCCACTGGCCTCCTGGAAGTTGGCCTTGGGCACTGCAGCCACTTCCCCTCCTAGATGCTCCGCAAGGAAGAAATGATATAAAAGCAGCGTCCAGGTAGCTCCCGACAACCGGCGCAAATGTCAGCGGGACCGATCCGGTTCCCAGGCTGGCAAGGGCATCCCACCACCCGCCTAGAGGGCCAATCGCATCCTGGCCCCCCTACCTCCCTCAGGACGGGTGCCAGATGCAGGGCTCACAGCTGGTGAGCACCACTGTGGCTCGAGGCTCTCCCGATCAGTACTGACTGGGCGTAAGCCCACGGCAGGCGCAGCAGGGCTGGGATGAGCAGGAGCAGCAGGCGGCATTGGACTGTGGGTTTCAGCCAGATCCCCACAGGCCACCCCTAGGGACCCCACCCGTGCACGAACTCATGCACCAGACCTCTCTCTCTCTCTCTCTCTCTCTCTCTCTCTCTCTCTCTCTCTATATATATATATATATATATATATATATATTAGTAAAAGCCTAAGCGACTGAACGACGGGTCAACAGGCTGCTATGATGCGCACTGACCACCAGGGGTCAGACACTCAATACAGGAGCTGTCCCCTGGTGGTCAGTGTGCTCCTACAGTGGGAGCGCCGCTCAGCTGACCTATGGGCGCCAGATGCCAGGCTCATGGCTGGCAAGCACAGCTGCGGTGGCTGGAGCCTCTCCCCCATCCAAACTGGGACTGGGATTGGGACCGGCATCGGAATGACTGGGCATGAGCCGGCTACCACGTGAGGAGCGAGGCTGCAATGACAAGCGGTGGCTGTGTGGTCATGGGTGCACCAGTATCGCCCTAGGATGGGCACGTGGAGGCTGCAGCGGAGCGGCAGAGTCTACCAAGTGATGGTGGGAGGTGCAGCGGGGCTGGGATGAGCGGGAGCAGCATGGTGCCCAGCTCGCATACATGCTCCTCCCTGGCCGCCTGCCGCTTGGTGCACTCCCTGGCCGCCTGCCGCTTGGTGCACTACTTTGTGCTGTGCAGAATTGACAAGCTGGCGGGTAAGGCTGGGCAGCAGACTAGGCCAAGGGACCCCACCGGTACAGGAATTTGTGCACCGGGCCTCTAGTTATGACATGAGGCAGCTGGCTTTGAGTTGGGAGGCGTCCTGTATAAGGGTGTTGGGGAGTTGATACCCCCCACTTCAAAATCTCCCCAACATTCTTAGCCTTTACTTAGTCACAGCTCCCCACTGACACATTTCAAAACAGATTAATGACTATATAGTATTTTTGTCCTTTTTAATTTAGAAAGAGAGAGAAAGGGAAGAAAATAATACAAAAAAAAACATGTTTAAATAACTATTGCAGAAAAGGAGATCTGGGCTGGATGCTGGGACCTACCTCTTCCAGAATGGGGGTTTATTATTGTTTTAAACAAACAAACAAAGAAAAACAAAATAAATTATTCTGCTCAATACTGTTTGGCATAATTGCATTGTTTTTTTTCATCTTCTAAACACTCAAAGCAGCCTCTTCAGGAAGCATTGAGATGAGACTGGCAAGAATGGCTGGTGCCCTGGCTCTCCAGAACGGTGGGAGGAGGCAATCCATCAAACCCCTACTTCCCCCAACCCACCCCCATTCTTTATTTCACCTACTTTGGGGATTAGGAAGGTACAGACTCAAGCTAAATTCTCCATATATTAACTTTTGGGGGTGCCCACTGCTCCACCCCAAGCCTCCTCTAATACTCTTCTGGTTACCGTTCCCCCAGCCGGCTGCAGGAACTACACCCACAGCCAGGAGGCTGCCTGGTGGTACCAACTCACTAAGAAAATGGGTGGCATGTGTGTTGTCACTGCTGGAGAGTGGGGTCCTTTTAGTGGTTTGGAAGCTTCACAGAAGCTCTTGTCCCCCCTAAAATCCCCTGACCTTGAAGGCTGAATACCACCCGCAGCTTCCTCGCGGGGGTTAAGCTGGGTTCAATCATGCAGGTAGTAGCTTCCAGTTGTAATCCCTGGTTGTTAGCTTCCCAGCCCACTCCGGAGCTGGAAATGGAAAGTGAGCGAGAGCGAGAAGGCAAGAGGTGAGCCGGGGGAAAGGGACCCATGGGCAGGGGAGGAGGCATGCAGAGGGGCAAGTCTACTCCTCCCCAGCTAGGCTCCCGGCTATTTCCACGGCCAGCTCGGGATTTTTACAGAGTTTGTGTTGGTCAGCCATACCTGGTCATTGTAGGTTAACTAAATTAACTAAATTATGAGCCCAAAGCAAAAACCACCCCCAAGCAAGAGGTTTCTTACTCCTCTTTGGGGTGATGTGTGAGGGAAGGTGCATGCACCAGGCAGCTGGGCTCCCCATCTCCAGCCGTTTTTGCCAGGAGCTGCTCCCTCTCCATTGAGCCAGCCGAAGACGTGTTTGTGAGAGAGAGAGAGAGAGAGGGAGAGAGGGAGAGAGACGTGCTTGTGAGAGAGAGAGAGAGAGAGAGAGAGAGAGAGAGAGAGAGAGAAAGCAGCAGCGCCCTAATCCATCCCAGGGCATGTTTTGATTTTTTTTTCTAGAGCAAGTAGGCTGGTGAGGAGGCCCGGGGCCTAAGGAGACACTAGAAGTTGTAGCGAACAGTAGGGGCGTAGGATACACGTGAGTGAGAAGCAC